ACCGAGCTCAGGTGCTCCATGCAGTGCTGCCTCAGCTTCTGATGCAGAATATTAAAAAAAACGAAACTTATAAAAGTTCAAGGATTTCTGGCGCATCACGTCTTCTACTATCAAACTCACACCATATTCTTATGCTTTTATACCAATGCCTTCTGAAGTTCTGTCTTATCCGGAAGAATACGACCTGGTAGTACACCAGGGCCGTGGTCTTGGTCAACTCTTCGAGACTAAAGCGAGGCAATCACTCGATTCTGTGGCGGTGATTGACGGCAAAATTACGCTCACCTACGAAGAATTGCACCTTCAAGCTCTACAAATCTCCCAGAAACTGTTCAAAAACAACCTGCAGATTGAAGAGCCCGTCGGGATAATTGTGCAGCATGGCTGGGCAGATGTTGTGGCTCAGATGGCAATCGTCTACGCTGGAGGAAGTTGTGCACCGATGGACCCAGCATTACCAGACGTGCAAATCGAGGGTCGCCTAGAGAAACTTGGAGCCCGTTACATATTGGTTGACCGGGCGAACCTGAGCCGAGAGGTTCATTTTCAGCAAATCAATTTGGACGATTATCCAATTCGGACACCCAGAGATGCCTGGGCAGCAGAAAAAGACCTCCCAGTCATCACGTCACTCGAACATCGAACACATTTGATTCACACATCGGGCACAACAAGCGAGCCAAAGGCGGTCCAGATTGCTGCTCGCTCAATCTTACAGGTTGTATATCATGCACCATTTGAGCCCATCGCTTCTACGGATACTGTTGCTCATGTTAATAACACGAGTTTCGATGTGTCGTTGTTTGACATATGGGTGCCTCTCTTGCGTGGAGCCCGGATTGCTGTCTTGAGCAAGGTAATCTTGTTGGACCTTCCAGCAATGGCAGCGGCAATCAAGGAAAATGATATTACAATCATGGCCACGACAACCGCCCTCTTGAACCTCGCGGCTTCGACTTATCCGCGTGCATTTTCACAACTGAAGATATGTTTTATTGGAGGAGAAGCTGCGAATGTGGCTGCTATTGAGAAGATCATGCAGCAAGGTCCGCCGCAAAACCTAATCAATGCGTACGGGCCAACAGAATGTTGCATCTTTTGTCTCGCTCATAAAGTCACACCGGAGGACGTACAGAGCGGCAGTGTCAGTATCGGTAAGCCAATTGGCAGAACTATTGCTCGCATCTGTGATGAAACTGGAGCACCTGTTTCAGATGGACAGGAAGGAGAACTATGGATTGGCGGAGCTGGCGTGTCTCCTGGATACGTTAATCGACCCGAAAAGAATGAGTCAGCTTTCGTCTACTTGCCGAACGAGAAGAAAGCCCAAAGATTCTATCGCACGGGAGACAGAGTCAAGAGACGCTCTGATGAGCAGATCGATTATGTGGGACGACAGGATCATCAAGTCAAGGTCCGCGGGTATCGCATTGAGCTCGAAGCCGTTGAGACCGCAATGCTCCAAACTGGGCAGTTCTCCGAGGCCGTGGCATTGAAGGTAGAAGCAGGTGGTGATGCAGGCTCTATTCTCGTTGCATTTGCTGTGGCAACCTCAACTAAGCCTCGTGCAATGGTCTGTGCCATTGATTCACTGAAGAATATGCTTCCTGACTACATGGTCCCGCAAATTGAGTTAATATTGAAAATGCCCCTCAACAGTCACGCAAAGATTGACCGCAAATATCTTGTCAATTTGTACCGTGAGCGGTGGGCAAGTTCCAACACTCTTTCGACCAAGCAAATCAACACTGGAAGTACCCAGCAGCAACTGGCAAGCCTTTGGGTAAATATACTTGGGCTCTCATCTCTACCGCAAGATCCCGATACCAATTTCTTCAAACTTGGGGCGACATCCCTCCAAGCATCTCTTCTCATCAGCCAAATTCGAAAGAATCTGGGAGCAGATGTCTCACTTCTCACACTCTACGATCACTCCAACCTCGCCGATCTGGCATCGACTATTGAAAAGTCGCAAGATCGCATCGCCGAAACTGTTCGCCATGAGGAGAATACCTGGATTCAAGACACCCATATCGCGGATGACCTTGCTCCTCCATCAGGACCGGCCATTGACTGGCGCCGGGATACAGAAGGACGTGTGTTTTTCACAGGAGGCACTGGCTTTGTGGGTGCGTTTCTTCTGGCCGACCTCCTTCGCACTTGCGAGGTTCATCAAGTGGGATGCTTGGTGCGTGCTGCAAATCCCACGATAGGTCTCGAGCGTATCAAACGAGCAATGGGAAAATATGGCCAGTGGGAGGAACGCTTCATTGATAAATTGCTGGTCCTCTGTGGGACATTGGAAGATGTTTACCTGGGTCTCGGCCATGAGCGTTTCCACGAAATTGCCAGCTGGTCAAGTGTTATTTTCCACCTCGGCGCCCGGGTCAACTACACTCAGCCATACTCTCTTCATCGCCCTGCCAACGTCATTGGCACGAGAAATATTCTGCGACTCGCATGTGCGGGGGGTCGCACCAAAGCAGTTCACTATGTCTCCAGCATCTCCTGCTTTGGCCCAACTGGATTCGTGACGGGAACTAAATTGATCACTGAGGATGAGCCCCTCCTCAAGCATGTTGAGGCACTTCCCTATGACCACGGGTATGCCCAATCTCAATGGGTCGCCGAAACCTTGCTGAGGCGTGTGATGGACCGCAATTTCCCAATTGCCATCTACCGCCCCGGTTTCATCACTGGTCACAGTAAAACTGGAGCCTGCAACCCCGATGACTTTTTCAGTCGCCTGATTCACTCTTGTGCTGAAATGGGTTGTTACCCTCTGCTCCCAAATCAAAGGAAAGAATTTGTTCCGGTTGACTATGTCAATGCTACGATTCTACACATCGCCTCGTCCGCATCGTCTTCACTGGGTCACGCCTACCATATCGTTCCGCCTAGTCGCGACTCGTCGATCGACATGAATAAGACAATGGACCTCGTCGGATCTGCATCTGGAACTACCATCAAAGGGGTTCCTTATCAAGAATGGATAGACATTCTAGCTGAGAAATCCCCCGCCAGGCTGCAGCCGCTTCAGCCCATGCTCGCTGAAAAAGCGCACCAGGGGTTGACCAGATGGGAGCTATATGAGAATATGCCTGTGTATGACACCACAAACACGGATCGTATGTTGGATACTTTAGAAGGCGGTCTTGAGTTTCCAGTCCTCGATCGAAGACTCATGGACAAGTATGTGTCATACCTCTCGGGCTTTTAGATTTCGATATAATAGGTACAGAATGCGCAAATCCTCCAATTACAGCTTTTCTATTTCAAATTACCAGTGAACAGCCTCCCGTCTCCTATAATTCCATACATCTCATGCTCTCGGGGGAATTTAGCTGCAGCTGCCGATCACATCCGTAGCAACCGTATTCTGGCGTGAGAATAAAGCTGCCATGGCCAAGTAGGCGGCATAACCACGACAGGATATTCCTACACTGTAAATCTGGACTAACACTTCTCTAGTCACCCGTTACATCCTGCCATGGTTCACTGGCTGCCTGCCCTTATCAGCGCTGCCTTTGTGGTCGACACATTGCAAACAGCCCTGCCATGTCTCCCGGCGGATATGCTCAAATTCCTCCCTACAAGCGCCAAGTTTACTATCCTCTCACATATCACACACTCTCTCTCTGTCGGTCTTTTGACCGGCTTCACGGCTGTTTTTACAGGATTATACGAGGCTAGTCGTATCGTGGCGAGGCAAGGAGGCATTTTCGAGACAGACAAGAAAACCTCAAGGTCCAAAATCAAGACATTGTTCGCCCACGCCGCACTGAATGGCATCGTCCTCTTAGCCAGTGCAGGATACTGGTGGGCAGTCTGGAGCAGGATTGGCGGCTTTTGTACCCGACATGTGGATGTTCGGGGCCGGCGTTACCCTCAGCGGCATCCAGCTGTTTGCTGCTAGCCTCGGTGGCACCTCGGTGTACGGCTACGGCACTAGTATTGGAAATGGAAAGTTGAAGGGTAAGCTGTAATAAGAGGCCATCCGCTGCCTAGAGGCCCAGGAGATTTTCGTACTCGGATTTCTATGTCGATAGATGTCACCTAATTGACTCCCAGGATATCTAACCGAACAAATCGCGAGATCACAAAGGAGAGTTTTGTCCTGTAAAAGATATTGCAGACTAATGCCCGTTTCTTAGAAGCCTGTCTAGAAGATTCTTTATTATATAGAGACGGCCAACCTTTCTGAAATTTGTAGGCAGATTTGACCGAGATATGGGGAATGCCTTACATCTTTGTGTGGGGTCTAATTCTTAATACTGATGAATTGTTTCGACTTTGCGATATTTGCGCAGAGGTACTAGAGAAAAATTGCAATAGTCTTGGGTGCGATGGGAGCCGAGTTAGTCGTCGACGAGATGGTGCACAAACAGTCAAAGCATCTGTGCATATTTGGGAAAGTTGCGTCCGCGGACATGGTGATGAAATAAGGAGAGCACCGTGACAAAATCGTTAGAGAAGAAAGGGTCATTGGTTTCGAAATGCAGGGAGCAGGAATGTTAGACAATATTTCGTGCCTCATCATTAAGGGGGTGTGTGCCTATGCGGACAGCCACAAAAGCAAAAAATGGCAACCCTATGCTGCGGCAACTCGCGCTTCAGCTACCAAGACGTTTTTAGAGTATTGGAGACCTATACGCAGAGACGGTTAGTAAAGTTAATGCTTATACTATACCGCGTGATTTGGACATCAGAACGTGCGCGGCTCGTTGGTAGATAATGAAGTGCGACAGCGTTTAAAGGTAACTCAAAGTGTCGACGCCGAGTCAACCTCAGCAGCTTTCGCGGGTTTCAAGAAGTATTGACATCAGCCCCGCGCTATATTGTAGCATCACTTAGGATCGGAACATTAATTCTCCTGTATCCTCAGATGTGGATCCGTGGGGCTGTGCCTAGTACTTAGCCTCGCTGTATTTCGCCCATCCGATTACAAGTCTTCTGTTCAAACACATTCACTTGGAAATAGTTCGCCAGAATTTGCTATGATGAGTGGAATGAGTTGCCAATCGTGTCCAAACCTGGTACTGTCACAGTGGGGACAAGGTTTGCGTCACCGCTGAGCTCGGAAGATCAAGCTTACTGAATTTTTAGATGAAATTTGGCAAACGAGTCAACCGTATCCTGAAGATCTCCAGAGCGCAAATTACACTGGGAAATCCTCCGCGATCACTCATGACGCTCGGATATGCATTTTGTTAGTCGAGTCTTTGTTCCATATATTCCTCTACACTGCTCATGCCAACAGATTCGCAAGCGCAAGCAAGATTCGTACATGCCAGCGATGCCGTAATGCATTAACCCAAACATTTCAGATGCCCGAAAAATGGTGGTCTAGTTCCTACAAAACGTCCAACGGGTATTTTGGTTGTGAAACAACCCGTCAAAAAGGAGTTGTCACAGGCTTCAGTAAGCAACTAGACCAGCCCGAGTCGAAAGTTATTAACTGATATAGATACATGGGCGTATTTTGAAATAAAACAGACCCGAGGCAATTTGAGTTACGAGTGGATCAAGCTGAACATCTTCACCCGATGGGTTTGTTCCTCTAATCAAACATTTCTGCTTCTTTTCGACCCGACACTGTCCATTCGGGAGTTAATTACCCGGTCGCTATCAAAGCCAGCCCTTTTTCAGTCTCAGTTGAGGATTCCATTCTGGCCATATTCACACGTGTTCGAGATCGTAGCTCATCTCGAAGAGTCCGCCGTTTGGGCCATCCGGAACCAAGTGAGAGCGATTGAAAACGAGACAGATCCAGGTATAGTGCAACAACCAGATTACAGGAGACTGCATGACATTGCCCGCCACGCTATACATATCAACGAGACTCTGGATGTCTCGATACAGAATATCGACACTATCCTGAAGCACTACGTCCTCTATATGACATCAAAACGGAATGAGTCATACTTCGGCGCAGACGAAGACATCCACAATCAGCTAGAATTCTTCCGAGGCTACATCACGAATCTGCGCCACCGCTCAGGCTCCAACGAGAAACGGCTTCAGAACGAGATCCAGCTAGCTTTCAATACTGTCTCCCAGGCCAATGCGAAAACCTCTGTGGAGATTGGTCATGCCGCGCAGATCGATAGTTCGGCCATGAAGACGATCTCCTTTGTCACGCTGGCTTTTCTCCCGCCTACATTTATCTCGTCTATTTTCAGCATGTCATTCTTTCAGTGCGATGAAAACAATGGCTGGGGCATGTCAAAGAAGTTTTGGCTTTATTGGGTGTTCGCCGTTCCAACAACCATTGCTACGATTTTGATTTGGCAGTACTGGCATAAGTTCTCCACCAGTTTGCATAATCGCAGCCCAACGATGGTTCCTAGAATCAAAGAACATGTATAAATTTTCTTTCGGATAACCAGAATGGCTGCACTGCCCTAGTCCGCTCTATACCACAAGCACCAAGGAAATAAATATTCCGACAGACACCAAGATAAAAATTAGCTGCTTTAGGTACTGTCTGGGGCTAAGAACAGAATTATAAGCATGGGTATAGCAGATTTTCTTAATGTTCCGGAGCTGCACGACCTCTGCTGGTTTGGATACTGTGACTGGCAACAATCATAAGAAAGTGGTGAAATCTCAAGGCAGAGTTTCGTAAAGCCCGTGATGTTGAATTGGAAGATGAACTAGACCTCTTGTAGGCCAATGAAGACCAGAATTCCAGCGTTTTTACATTGATAATTGGGTCAGAAAATGCAAGTGCAGCGTAGATGATACATACATGTAGATAGGTCGTTGGACACACATTATAGAGCTTTTAAATATATCAAACAGGTTTTGGAATTTTAGATGCAATCAAGATGTATGTGTCCAGTTGAAAGATTCCTCAATGTTCAAGCCTACAATATCAAAGAATTTCAGAATCATTGGATTGTTTTGGAGAAAGCGGAGCTGGAATCATAGAATGAATTACGCTAAAAGCTAAAAGCACATATCTTCGACATCTTAAGCGACAACATATCATCCAAAGTGACGACAGTTCGGTGGTCTGTGGGGACCCGATGGTTGAGAGGGTTCGGTACGGCACGCCCCGTCTCTTGGCGCCCGCTGCTCCGCTTCTTGTGTAGCACGAGGCTGAGCTTTGGGGGCTGAGAAGGCTTTTTGTTCTGCCTATCATGCCATGGCATTTCCCCTGTCTCTGAGTTGTTCAAACCCCATCAATGTCTCCTAGCTACTGGTTTCCGTGTCTCATAGATTCTATCGTGAGTGAACAAGGCTTTGACATGGCTTGTCCCCCACGAGAAACATTCCAAATCGGCTGAATATGTGCGCTGCCGATCGAGGCTGCCGCAGCCATGGAAATGCTAGATGAAAATTTCGGCCCTCTCAATTCTCAAGATAAGTCCGACTTAGATGCCTACACATTGCGCCGAATCGGGCAACACTTTGTTGTGATCGCTTGCCTCTATAGGACAAGATGGGAACACCTCGGCCACCACAGTCGCAAACAATATGGTCCGCACATTCTCGAAAGTACTCCGCGTCGGGTTGATGGTTGGTGTTGGAGGCGGTATTCCGTCGACTGCTCATGATATACGACTTGGCGATGTTGTGATCAGCTGCCCGGAAGGCACTGTCGGGGGCGTGCTGCAGGGTATTGCGGCTGCAGGACGCAGTTCACCTGGCCCGATGCAAATTTAACCTGACCACCCTACTAAATCAACTGGCATTTTCCTATCTTATCTACACCGGTCAGCTCCCGAGGTCAGTCTAACAGATAGATCATCAGGAGACAGGTAACTAGCACTCAATTAACCAATATTTTAATTGCTAATTGAATGCTGCGGACATCTTTTTTAAGATAATCTAGGAATTGAGTGGCTTCAATAGAAAAGGCAACTGAACGATATCATAACGTGTTTTTGATATGCTCTTTTCAGTCACAATAAGGCGGCCTAAGCCGTGCGCAAGTCGGAGAAGGCGGCTCTCTAAAGACGACTGGTTTGTGGCCCTTCGAGTGATTCCTGGGCTTATCAAAAACTGCAAGTTAACAGGGTGACTTGAAATCACGACGACCAAGGTATCCAACACCGCCTGTCGTTTGGAAATATTGAGTGGCCATTTGACCTTGAGCCCCTCAAGCTTGGCCTTAGTACTGCCGATTGTGTGACACCATCCCGGAGGCAGGTCGATTCCATCCGGATTTTCGGTTACTGCATTGATCTGGCCATTCACCTCCACTTCAAAAACAGACACGAACACACTACTGTGTTCGTCATGATTTTTTAGAGATATGAAGATGTTGGAGTTCTCAGTGATAAAATCTTCGCCAGTAGGATTGACGATTCTTCCGTGACGGCCATCGTCCACTAACCCAAGTTGGATTTCGAGATCATGCTGCAAATGTTCCTCCGGGTTGTCACAGGTTTGACCCAGAAAGTGTTGCGCGCGAGCCACTTGATCTGCAATGTCAACGGCTGCTTTGTACGTAGAAGGTGTAGGCTCCTTGCCATAAAACCGCTGCGAGAAAATTTCCACTCCATACTTATTGGCCACAGTGAGCTTGCCTTCTTGCTGGCGAATCTCAACTAGAGGACTCGTCTCGCCATTGTAGTTGCACCTGAGGAGCCTGGTTTGCTTAACCTGCCTCTGAAGTGCGGCAATATCTGCTGTAAGAGACACTGGCCATTTGTAGAGAGCTTCTTCGACGAGAAAGGCCAGTGCGCCTCCATCAGGCAATTGAGACATCCCATTCCCCCAAGTAAGTGTTGCGACAGCATCAAACCCACTAGCATCTGTTACTATAGCAGTAGCGATCTGAGTGTGCAGATTAACACATTCTGATCCAGGCGACATAACCGCATAGGTGTTTTTCTCTCGGACCCCTGCAACCCTGCCAGCTTTGATTATAGCTGTGTTGTCACCGTCTTGTTTTATGAGAAGGGAAGTGGAGTCTTGGCCATCCAGAGAAAATAGAAAGCGAGTGTGTGGTCCTTCTACTCGCGGATGCTGCTGGGGAAAGGACATATTGACTAATTCCTGTACACGAAGCATCACTGTCCTCCAAGAGATATGGTCATCATCCGTTTCCTCGATCACGCGAACGAGAGCCTCGGTTAATGCGCCAAGTTGCAACCCCGAATCACTTTCGTATTCATACGCGCTTTCCCAAGGTGCCGCGGCGGCAATCCGCACTGCGTGAGGATTGTCTCCCAGCTGTGTGCGTTCTCGAAGCAACCCCTTGTCTTGAAGTAACTGGATATGGCGGGCGATATCGTGATAAATAGTTGTAGGGAGGTTCCTCCGTCTAGCATTTTTGACATAGCGGGAATCGCGCACCATGCGACCAGAATGACAACAGTCCAAGATGACGGTGACATTATGCGTTTTGTCTGTGGTATCTAGCAGCCATTGAGACAGCTCCTCTTCTGAAATTCCATGAAATTCCCCGGGAACCTCCTTATAGTCTATTGGAACAATGAATTGGAGCCGCCGTGGCTGACCAAAATCTCGCTGGTCTGCACTCTTTACCGAAAGGGCTTCTCCGCCATGTCCTGAATAGTAGATGACAACTGTATCATCGGCTGAAATTTGGGATATGAGGTCGTGCCAAGCAGAACGAATGCCATCGCGAGTCGCTGCTGAACCACAACACTGATAGACTTGGAATCCTCGCTTTTGGAGGATTTTGGAAATCATTTCAACGTCGTTCTCTGGGCCCTCGAGATCCCCATAGGGACTTGCAATAAGTAGGGCGCGCCTGGTGAGAGGCATAATGGATATGATAGGTGATAGACAGGAAAGAAGTTCAGTTCAGATCTACTTTAATAGAGAGGCTAGATAGCGAACGCGAAGTGCCATCAGCTAAACCACTTTTCTTTCGTATTATGTGGCATTGGTATGGAGTAGGTATTATGTACAAATACATTTCGGGTACTATTGCTTTCGTAGGAACCGAATTTTACCCATTGGCTTGATACCCAACCAATAATGAAGGGCGCGCTATATCCCAGCCCAATGATACTCGAAAGCTAGCGCGAAATTGGCAACGGTAGCATACATATGTGTCTTGGATTCTTTAAGTATTGTTTTCGATGTTGGTTTGCATATTGTACTCTGTAATAACGCGGTCACGACAGTTATAAATCGGCTAGTCCATCCTTCATAATAAAATACTATAATATACACCCCTACTGTTCACGCAGATACACTTCTCCCTCCTTTACTGTTCAACTGGATTACGGCCAAACCATGGACAAATCTTCTCACGAGTACGAAAGTACAAGTACAGATAATGATTTGGGCCAAGAACCTCAAGACCCAATTGCTGCTGTCGACCTCAAAGAGCCGGAAATGATGGTGGAAGCGGTAGACTTACCCCGCTATCCTCCGCGGAGGGAGCCCACTCCGAGGGTAAGAAATTGAAATATTCTCTTGGTCAGGTCAAAATGTCGCTCATGTCGGTTATCTCAAGGGAATCCTTGGTGCAGCAGTCCGTAAATTGAAAAATATCCCTCCTTGTGTCTGGGTTGTCAATCAACACTCAGAAGAAATAACGGTCGTGGTCTCGAAATACAAACCAAATCGCCTCCTAACGGGCATTGGATTGAGTGCCTCACCAACCGGAGCAGGATTAAACTTTGAGGCTACGGTATGGTGTTATAGCCCATTTATACTCTTGTAGCTAGGCTGACATTCTACAAGACCTTTGTCGGACCAGCCTCGCGGAAAACACTCGCAGCTCAAGACCAAGGTCGTGAAGGCAGTACCGCGGTATTCCCATTATGGACCCGCAAAGAAGGATTTGGTGTTATCAGCGTGTTTAAAGGCCCCGAACAAGTCTTGTATATTGAAAATGATAGGGTGCCGCTTGGAGCGACGGTTTATTTTGTGAACAAGCCAGATTTGCGCATCGTGAAGTACCAGCCGGTTCCGGTGACTATCCAGAATTAGTAACGAGGGCAGTGAAGGTCGTTTCATTAACAATTGGCTATTATATTTCAGACCTAAACTTTTAACCGCCGGGGGATTCGGAATTTACCAATAACCAGTAGATTACCGCAACAAAATCCGCGTTTAGCTATATTATCACTTCCCTGTCATGGGGATGTCACTGGATTCCTGTGGAAGCAATTGGCTGCCTCACTGTGTGCCACTGGGCCCCGGGGGTATCTCCTGATTACGAATCCCCCAGTCAGACCTGGACACAAATGTAGATTACGGCTAGACATGCACTCCACTGTCAGCCACGTCAATGGTTCCCGTGATTGAAAAAAAGACCCTAGCGAAGGCGAGTAGTCTTCGTGCTATTTTGTCCCACAATACATAGGCTATAAAGCTCACCTGTATTGGCCCGGATAGTAAATATCGGATTCCGGCCATAAAAACGATGTTAAATATATCCTTTGACTAGACTTCTTGCACGAATTGTAAGTAACTTCCAAATTTTGTGAACGAACTGATATTCATTTTCAATGCAGTCAAACAATCCAGTAGCTTCTGGAAAAAGAGCAAGCGCCTAAAAAGAATGGATGATTTGCAGGAGGCCGTCCGCCTTGCTCAAACAGCCCTCGACGCTACCCCAAAAAACCACCCCGATCTAGCGTTACGGTTAAACTATCTGGCGAATGCTCTCGCGACCCGATATGACCGAACTGAAAACTTGGATGATTTGCAGGAGGCAGTCCGGCTGGCACAAGCAGCCGTGGACGCTACCCTGGATGACGACCCCGATCTGCCACACTGGATAAACGAACTAGGGGTGTACCTCTTAACTCGATATCTTCACATCGGAGACTTGAGTGATTTACAGGTCGCAGTGGGCCTTATCCGAAGATCCCTGGATGCTACCCCAAAAGACGACGTCTATCTAGCATTACGGTCAAATAATCTAGCGAACGCCCTCTCAACCCGTTATGATCGAATTGGAAACTTGGGAGATTTGCAAGACGCAATCCGGCTAGCACAAACGGCTATCAATGTTACCCCAGAAGATGACCCTGATCTAGCACACTGGTTAAATGAACTAGGAATGTATCTAAGAGCCCGGTATGATCGAAATGGGGACTGGGATGATCTACAGGAGGCAATCCGCCTTCTCCGGAAGTCAGTCGACTCTACCCAAAAAGGCGATCCTGGTCTGCCAAATCGGCTACGTAATCTGGCGAGCAACTTCTCAACCCGATACGATCGAACTGGAAACTTGGAGGATTCACACGAGGCAATCCGACTGACCAAGACAGCCGTCGACGCTACTCCAGAAGATCACCCAGATCTACCGTCCCAGTTGAGCAATCTCGCGAACCATCTCTCAAGCCGATACGAAAGATTACGAAATCCAGACGATTTGCAGCAGGCAATTCTGGTTGCCCAAAGAGCTATCAATATTACCCCAAAAGACCACCTCGATCTGGCTGTCCGGTTAAGCAGTCTCGCGAACCATCTCTCAACCCGATACGAAGGATTCGGAAATCCAGATGATTTGCAGCAGGCAATTCGGGTTGCCCAAAGAGCGATCGATACTACGCCGAAAGACCACCTCGATCTGCCTTTCCGCTTAAGCAATCTCGCGAACACCCTCTCAATCGGTTATGAGCAGACTGGGAACTTAGATTATTTGCAAGAAGCAGTGCGCCTTGCCCAAAGATCACTCAACATCACCCCAAAAGACCACCCCAATCTAGCAATCCGATTAAATAATCTAGGGATCTATCTATCAACCCGATATGATCGGACAGGAGACTTAGATGATTTACAGCAGGCAGTTCGCTTGGGTAAAACAGCCGCCGCTGCTACTACTCTATACGGCGACGACCACCCTGAGGTGGCACTTATCTCAATTACTCTGGCTGGCAATCTCTCAACCCGGTATGACCGAACGGGAGATTTGGATGATTTGCAAGAAGCAGTCCGGCTAGCGAAAGTAGCCGTCGACAGTATCCCAGATGACTATCCTGACCTAGAACACTGGCTAAATAGTCTATCGGTCTTTCTCTCAAGCCGGTATCATCGAATGGGAGACTTCAAAGATTTACAGGAGGCAGTCCGGCTGGCTGAAACAGCCGTCGCCACTACCCAAGAAAACCACCCCGATCTAGCAAATCGGTTACTGAACCTGGCTAGCAACCTCTCAGCCCGATTTGATCGATCTGAAACCTCGGACTTGGATGATATACAGCAGGCGATCCGGCTTACCCAAAGAGCCATCGACAGTACACCAGAAGACCACACCGACTTACCACATTGGTTGAACAATCTAGCCATTTACATCTCAAAACGATACAATCGAACTGGAAATTTGGTTGATTTACAAGATGCAATCCCAGTTGCTCAGAAAGCCGTCGACAATACCCCAGAAAATCATCCCGATCTGGCACCCTGGTTGAATAATCTAGCGATCTACCTTTCAATCCGCTATGAGCATACACATCAGCAGAATGATATGATCGCGGCTTTGAAGCACTTCTCGCAAGCCCTTGATTCGTACAATGCAACTCCCCGCCATCGCATCGAAGCTGCCCGTCGAGCGATCAACCTTCTTGTTCCGTATGGTGACTTTGAAAGGGCTCAATTGCTAGCTGGCAGGGCACTAGATCTCCTGCCTCTCGTATGCAGCCGCTACCTTTCCCGGGAAGACCAGCAGTATGCCATTCAGCAGACGTCGGGCCTAGCTGCCGAAGCATCCTCTCTTCTCCTCCGAACAGACAATGATCCAGCTCGAGCTTTAGAGTACCTAGAGCATGGCCGGGGCCTCATCATTGGATATCTCATTGACAGTAGGGGTGGTACCTCAGATCTGTCCACTAAGCATCCCGACGAAGCGGATGAATTCGATCGGCTTCGTCACAGGGCTTTTATGCCTATTCGCCAAGATCACCCGCTTGAGACTCGCCGACATTTGTTAGAAGACCGTGAAGAAGCCATATCACGCTTAGAAAACTGCCTGGCGAATATCCGGAGACTAGAGGGGTTTGATCAATTCCTTCTTCCACCTTCCTCCGAAGCCTTACAAACAAATGCCACCGACGGGCCGATTGTGGTTGTGAATGTCACATCCATCAGTAGCGATGCCTTGATTGTTCGTCCTTCTGGAATCAAGCACATTCGATTACCCAGCTTTGGTATATCGAAAGCTAACCAATATCGATCCTGGGGACTGACCCGCAGCCCATCGAGATTGATTGAGCTGAAAGAGACAGGAGGGTTGAATACCTTTCAACAGCTTTTACGTGATTTGTGGTTCGACTGTGTTCGTTTAGTGTTAGAGGAGCTAGGGTTTCTCTATCCTGCAAGCGACAGTGCACTTCCTCGCATTTGGTGGATTGGCACCGGCCTTGCGGCCTCCCTTCCCTTCCATGCGGCGGGCGATCATTCGCCAGGCTCACTGGAGAACTCTTTAAGTTGCGTCCTTTCCTCATATACACCATCAATCAAAATGCTACAGTTCGCAAGGGAAAAGACACGTGTCACACTCAGCGCACAGTCGGTCTTGCTGGTCACAATGCCAAAAACCCCTGGTCAAGATGATCTCCCTGGTGTGATGGCGGAGAGCCAAGCAATCCAGGAAGCAGTCACCACGCCTCATACAGTAAACTTATTGACTCAGCCAAGCGCAGAGATAGTTCTCCAGGGACTCCAAGATTGCAGTATTGCGCATTTTGCTTGTCATGGGTCGTCAGACAAGCGCGATCCCTCGAACAGTTTTCTGGCCCTTCAAGGGCAGTCTGATTTGGCTGCAGACCGTCTTACAGTCAAGAGAATCTCCGAGTCCCATATGAAGAAAGCCTGGCTTGCATACCTTTCTGCCTGCTCCACCGCAGAGAACCAAATATCTGAATTGGCAGATGAAGCCCTCCATCTTGCAAGCGGTTTTCAGGTCGCGGGCTTTGCACACACAGTTGGGTCAATGTGGTCATCGAACGACGAAATTTGTGCACAAGTAGCTGCCATTTTCTATCGTGAGCTCATCACGGAGGGTGGGTTGGCAGAGGGTAACCGGGCTGTCGCGACAGCGTTGCATACGGCTGTGATGACCGTCCGCGAACAAAATTTGGGAATGCCATACCTGTGGGCCCAATACGTTCACTTTGGTGCCTGAATCAAATGATCAATACTCTATTCATATTAGCTGCGCAGCGGCTGGATATCTGCCGGCGGACTTGTTGTCGACCATGTAATATATATGACAGTATGAATACGGTGTATATCCTTGTAATGTTTCACTAGCCCGTGTTTGTCACGGTGATACAGTACCGTTTAATATCGGGCCGCTTTTCCCCACCTTCCATCAGCCAAGCCGCCACAGCTTACTCTTGCTGACGACCTCACCGGTACAATTGCACTTTTCCTTTACAGAATTCTCCACCATTTCGCAGCCTGGTGCTTGCGACCCCCATATGCGTTTGTGGTCTGGTTATGCGAAAGGCTGAGCAGCAGCCTTGCGCGGGTTTAACTCTTGACCTCCATGTGTCGCTCTCTACCAGGCGAAGATGGTTTCTTTTAAACATTTATTAATGGCAGTTCTTTATCTTCTGTCTATCGCGTTATCTTCACTACCGATACAGCAGTGTCGTACCACGCCACCTGCATTGGAGCTGGCACCTGGCGATGCAATGCGCGAAAGGCTGTGCTTACCACCAATCCTACCAAAGTAGACACACCCCAGCCTCGTCAGAGAACGGTTGTACTAACAGGGCTTCCAATAGGAGAGAAATAGAGGAACAAGGCACTCTAGCTCCAGTGAGGGGTTGCGAATCCCCATCTGCCATGTTCGAGTACCGCCTGTTCTTGTCTCATATGCCCAAAAGAACGCGGGGCGATAGTAACTTATAATTACCTAGGTAATATTCTGTTCGGCGCCCAGGCTTGAGTCTGGTTATATAATACTCTAAACTGATCCCGTCCAACTCTTCATGGCTCAAGAGATCAAACATTTTCACCTTTGATCTGTACCTGGACGCTAATAAGCCCCCGTGCACTATTTGCCACCCAGTTTAGCCAGCTAAGGCATAGATAGTACCTACTTTCACCAGTCTACCTCAATAAGGTACGCTGTCTCCTCAACGCGTGTCTTTGACTGTTCACTTGATCACGATATGTAAGAATATCAACCACCATCCTTCAAATTGTCTACCACGCCCTCAACTTAAATGACATATCTTAGTCCCGTCCATTCGGACCTGTAAGCAAAAATGGGGAAATGCACCGCCTGCCACGGTGCACAATGGCAGTACGCTTCATGTAACGCCTGCGTAAACTGGCCGGGCTGGATGACCAAGACATTCACTTGCACCTCATGCAGAGGGAACGGGTGCCATCAGTGTGAAGGCAAAGGATGGGACTTGCAGACCGTGCCCTGTGAGAAGTGCAATGGCACACGAGAAATGAGTTGGGTGTGTGGTGTGTGTAATGGGAATGGCTATCTCCCGTCGTTCTAATCACTGCTGGGAGAGACTCTGTCTTCCTTGTGGTTTCCCTTCTGATCGAAGGCTGGCTGTATGATGGGACAGGCATCGTGATTTATTGAGAATCTGCCAGCCCCTTAGTATTTGCTATACTTAAGTCACTAGTGGCCTTAAGGGCTACATAGCCAGTAAGATATCTCCCTTCGTTTTCACCAAAATCAGTACTTGACTGACAGCTTCAACCCCATGAAAGGTTGCAGCCAGCGAGCCAACATCTACCTTTCAACAAAGGTTGAGGCTGTCTCCTTAGGGGCTGTGTTGGGACCTTCGGATGGATAAATCCCGATCGAGTACATTATGGATTAGCTTCCCATCCACTGTACTTCGGCGTCATAACATCGTTAGTATCTGGTTGGAGACCAGTATAGCTAAAGCACCAAGAGGGCTTGTTCAGTTGTGCGTCCCGACGTCCGCCGTTTTTACAAAGCCTCCTGACCTTATACTAGACCGAGTGCCGACACTGCCTATGATACATAGTAGACCCACCACAACAATGACAGATATTGATACGACTGGCTTCGTTGATATCGACCACTTCGACCTTGCAAATTGGGCCATCAATTTTGGTATAGGCAACTATGAGCGATGAGTGACTACGATTTGAGAGCGCAGGCTTTTTTACGCAGCACTCAGTCAAGACTACGTATGTAGCTATAGCCAAGAAGCACCACCAATAACCAGCTTTCCCGGCCCAGTGTGGCTGCGTTTGCTTCTGCCTGGAATTCAGGGTTATGAATACTGGACAATGCATACATTAGGGGAGGAATGCGGTCTCGGGGAACGGTGTTTTCTTTCACCATCCTCTAATAACCATACAAAACCAATTAATGACGGTTTCTTTTTTTTAAAAAAAAAAAGCTCTCGTGTGCAGTAATGTGAACGTTTTCCAATTGTCACATATTCCCCCGTAATGTATGTACTTTGTAGCGGGCAATGCGGATATTGCGGAGCTACCGATGTGACGTCGACGAAGATGCCTCGGTAACTCCACATCCTTCAAAACAAGCTTCCTCCCACACATCAGCCGTATGAGTCTTATTGCAACATTATCCAAATATTTGCCAACCTTCTTGAGCACAACCCATGGCGGCAAGCTTGCTATCGCGATACCCATGGGTATCTGGTCCATTTGTGGTCAGCGCCCCCATGAAAGTAATGTCCGGTCCCGCACTGGCAGTAGCCGTCTCTCGCGCCGGTGGACTAGGGTTCATTGGCCCCGGTGCCAAAACACAGGACACGAGCGACGACCTTGAAAAAGCATCATCGCTCATACGCCAAGAGGCCAGCATAATACCATCTCTCGGCTCGACACTACCTGTCGGCATAGGATACCAGCTCTGGGCTGATGATATCACTGTTGCCGTCGCCGCCATTGAGAAGCACAAACCATGTGCAGCCTGGCTATATGCCCCACGTCAGGGACCCAAGGAATACGACGACTGGTCTAGCAAGATCCGTCAAGCATCCCCTGACACGCAAATCTGGATCCAAATTGGTACTCTGAAGGAGGCAAAGGAGCTTCTTCAGAACCGCGAGCGACCAGATATTGTTGTCTTGCAAGGAGCTGAATCCGGTGGCCACGGTCGGGCGAAAGATGGAATGGGGCTTATGGCACTGTTTCCCGAAGTCGCAGACGCCATGGCAGACAGCAAAATTCCGTTGTTTGCGGCTGGCGGAATCGCAGACGGGCGCGGTGTAGCAGCGGCAATGTGCCTTGGAGCTTCGGGTGTGGTGTTGGGGACTCGTTTCCTGGCTGCCAGTGAAGCACGCATTAGCCGGGGTTACCAGGACGAGGTTGTGCGTGCGGTCGATGGTGCAGCGTCAACCACGCGCACTTTACTGTATAATCAGCTCAGGGGCACATTTGGGTGGCCAGAGGAATATAGTCCACGGACTATCTTGAACAAATCATTTGTTGAGCAGCTGGAAGGGAAGCCTTTTGAGGAACTTAAAAGGCTCCATGATGAAGCTGTCAAGACTGGTGATAAGGGCTGGGGCCCTGAGGGGAGACTCGCGACATATGCAGGCGCTTCTGTGGGACTGATACATGGTGTGAAACCTGCAGAAGATATTGTCCATGAGATTCGAGGGGATGCATTGGAAATAATTCAGCGAATGTGTCCCCGAAAGGAATAGAAACAATTTTGTACGACTTGATCAGATAGAACTGAGCTCAGATTTGACAAAGATGGTTACTCTGTAAATCCAATCAGATGCATAAGCTGAGTTCTCTATGAACATCCATGTGGTAATGTCTTCGAACGTGTCGAGATAGAAATTTTTAGGAGTTTAAGAGAGGAGGTCCAACTTCAGAGCACGAAGAGAAAATTTCCCATTACCACTAAATCTCGATTATCCTCAGCTAACACGCGTATTACTAGCTAGAATCCAGTCCCTATCTCAATTTGGATACCATTTCCTTCAAGCTTGACATCCTCCACAAAGACTATCACTGGCATAAATTGGTACTGCAAACTCCGGAGCAGCATTGAGTACCCGACACACAACTCATATTATTCAATCCGCAAGTACCGTCCCACTCACAGTACGTGCTATCCTCATGTTGAAGACTGCACGACATATGCTCCTGGCAAGGCTTCTCAGCAGAGCACTGTATGCCGCGAACATCCTCATCTTTCATGCAGATCATCTCGACACTAGAACCTCCAGACGAATTGAGAACACGGTTAGGACGACACCTCAGGCCAGAAGGACACTCAGAGCCCCGCAGACAACGCAGGTTCTCTGCGGCAGCTATGCACATTCCACTCTGACAATGACCCGCCACGCACTGGCCGTCTTCCTTGCAAAGGGCGCCAGTTACAGACTTTCGCTGGCAGCTCTTGGATCTTGAAGAGCAGTACATTTCATAATCCGGGTGGGTTGATTGACAGTTCTGTTCACTAGAACAGCTGTCATTGGGGCAGTTGCTTGGACTCTTGGTAGACGCGTGATCACTTGAGAAGATATGTCCCTGTCTGTCAGCAGGAGAATGGACCCTCACGCATTTCATGCTTCTGACATGTCTGCCAATGCCATCGCCAACAGCCCGTCTGAGCAGGTTCGCATGGGGTCGGGTAAATGTGAACAGCTCGTTGTTGCAAGAGTTGTCGCTAGACGATTTAGCACTATACTCTTGTAGTGGGAGGTTATTTACTTACGAGTACATTGAGCACATCATTTCCTGCTTGACCTCGGACGGGCATGGGACATAGATTGATCCGACATTCATACGGCTGATACTTTAGTCAACAGGACTTCATAGACATACGAAGAGTATTCAACTTACTAGTCGGACATGTTGTCGAAATTCATGCAATTTCCATCAGATGCAATAGGCATTCCCTTTTGGCTGGCATTCATTGCGAAGTCATTTTCTTTGAAAATCATGGACTAGATAGAGAGTAAACGGATTGATCAGGTGTAAACACGCTCTATAGCCGTACCTGATTAGGGACCAACATGATCGGGCTGGCAGCCAGTGCCAAAGGCACAAGTGCAAGAATATTGACAAAACTAGACATTGCTTTTTGTTGATTGCGGTGATTTGGAATATTCAATGGTGAATAGTGGATTAACTGCCGGATAAGAAGCGAGCTTTATACTCAGATTTGCTATCCGAGCGTGCTCCTTTGTCTTTTTGTACCATAATGATTATGGGCTTATCTTGTGCATTCTTTTTGCGTTTGGGTTGCGTACAAGACTTAGGTCCTTGTCAAGTATGCATGTCGTCTGATCTAGCTCTCTGGATTCGCCATTGAGCCGGCATGACCGGGAAAGATTGATCGACCTAACGGTCAACTCACTTAAACTTCACGCTGTGTAATTTCAAAGCTGATGTCTTTGGCCTAGAGCGTTGGGAATAATCAAATCCGACTTCCCGCCTTCAAATGTGCAACCTTAGCCCTTGTTCGGATGTTCGGCTAAATCTCAATCTCAGTTCCGCAGTTCCAACGTTGATCGATGTCTCAGTTTCAGGGTTGTACACATGTTTAAAGAGATAAGAAGGGCTAACTATTGTAGGACAACCTTATACATGTATGTGCAACCAGGTTCTCAGCAAGATATAGATATGTACATTCATAGCTCCCCTAAAGGCAAATAAACTGAGACAAGTGTAATTGACAACCCAATGCGTTCGTATACACGATACGCTTATACCACATAGAGAATTTCGTTTATTGGTAGATAGTGACGTGCTATTCAATGTCCCTCGTCTTGTATCACGAATGTGGCGAGTGATCCTATAAGCCTTAATATAAACGGCTACCTAGGTACCTTGTATAGTAACCTGCAGCGCCCAGTTACGCTAAATGAAACGCAAAAAAATGGCCAATTTTGAAACACTTTCAATGTTGTGCCAGCGACAGGTTCACCATCAATGGCTTGCGTTCCCAGATATTGTAGGTTTCTGGATAGTCCAAGTAGCTGAACTCTCGTCCATGGACATCTCAAAGCTCCAGAAGACCTTGGTCGCAACTAGACGCATTTCTGCATAGGCAAGGCTGTGGAAGGCTACCATTAGCCCGATCCCCGAGGATATCGAAAATCAAAACTCACTTTCTTCCAAGACAGTTACGGGACCCAAGTGAGAATAGTTGAACTACTGCCCTATTGTCCGACTCGAAGCGTTTGTCTCTGCGCTCTAGCCATCTCTCGGGGATAAACGAGTCCGCTTCGGCAAAATGAGACTCGGCATGGTAGGTAGAATAGTGGGCCCCAGAGACATAAACCTGTTGAAGTCAATATACATAAAGACCACACTTGAAAGTTGAGACATACGTCCTCTGGAACGAATCGCCCATCGATCAATGCACCCTCCTTAGGTATGCAACCCGTGGAGTAATAGCCGGGACAGGTGGGTAAACCCGCAGGCTTTCCTCGAGCGCTGCATTCAGGTAAGTCAGTTGACCAACTCTCCGAAAATCGATATCTTCGTAAGATTTGAATGATTCTCGGATCTCATCCACAAGTTTCCGATAGGCCGGAGGGGTTGCCATGATATAATAGGTGAATCCGGAGAGTAGACTTGCGGTCGTCTCACCCCCAGCGAGGATCAGCGAAGCTGCGTTTGCTTCCATCTCCCGTATGGTCATCGGCCTGTCGTCATTGTATTGCAGGATGTAAGTCATGAAATCCGGCCGTCCAACCTTGACCACCTCCAATCTGCGGTGGACTTTGTTTGTTGCCAAAGTGAATGAGTCTTCTCGCATCTTTGTGAGCCTTTTCGGGAGAAGCCTCCTCGCAATCGGTGCCGAAAAAGGATACATTAAGAGTGGTCGCGATAATGCCATCACTTTCATGCTCACAAAGACCATCTTGAACCATATCATTTCCGTAGCCTCAGAGCTTGCAGGTATGCGGGACGTATATTGGAGATCTGTGCAAGGTTTCAAGCTTGCAGCAAGCATATGCTTGGATATATGATATCGTGTATAAAGCTCTTAAACCCATATCACTTTCTAGCCATGGTTTTAAACATCACAGACCAAGATTCATAACGACCCAAGGAAATCCATCATCCAGGCCTCATCAATCCCACCGAAATGCATAACATCGGGAAGTATATCATCAGATTGGATCGTGCCACTATCAATCCCGTTGTTTGCGGGCAGATTTGGGTGCCACATTTCCATCAATTTCGGCTCCCAGTTCATTCTCATGCCTTGAACCATCCTCAATCCCTTTTCGAGGAGGTTCATTTCCCTATTTTGGTCGAAAGTGATATTTTCTGGACACCTTCTGATGACGGCTTCGTTTCTGTTCAGGTATTCGAGGATATTTGCTGTGTCTCGGACCATACTCTTAGACCACGCCGGGTCCTCCAGAATGGTGAGCTTGTACAGGTTGACAATAGCTCGAGTGAATTGGAAGAAAATTACACATGATACCTGTAGGTACTCCTCTCCCTCAAGTTTCAGCCATACCTCTAGCCAGCCTTTTGTTGCTCGGAGGGAGGTGTAAAGGCTGTCAAGGCGATGGAGATCAGGCGAATGTGCGACGACGGGGTTTCGTATTGAAAGTTCGTTGATTACAATTTCAGCATTGTAGAGATACATCAGCACGACTCCTTTTGTCTTGTTAGTCATGGCTATGGAGATTTGAGGGGGGTAGAAACATACTGTGCTGTTGAAGATGAGGCGGAATTTGGCTCTTCACTGTGTCTAATTGATTTCTGAAGCTATCGAGATAGAAGGGTAGCGAGATAAAAGCTTCACCGTCCCGCCGCAGTTGATAGACTCTGTCTAAGACCAAATGGATCTTGACTAGTGCGATCAGAAGCTCATCCTCGGGACACTCTTTAGCCTCGGTGAGTACTGAAAGACTTTCTTCCATGTGCGGTGTCCAGCGCATAGCGTCGATCCTGGACATTGACAATGCGGCGCTGGTAGTACAGCTGTTAGTTATTGATTGGAAAGCTCCATTGGGCATATATTATTTACCTTGATGATATCAAGAAGCATCCCAGCACAGCCCTCCTCTCTTCCAGTGTTCTGGGTGTGGGTGGAGTTTGCTTCATTCCAATAGCGACTTTGAATGAATGCATGGCTGAGTATTCATTTGGGACACTTTGATTGATCCCAAGCTCGGCGACAACGGCCATTAGCAAATGTGCATAGACATTGAGAAACGGCCTTTTAGTGTATGTAACCCTGCAAAGAGAACTGTAATCAGGAAGTGGTCTTCATAAGGGTACTTATCTTCTGCTCACCATGATATGAAAATCATGGTCCCGAGGAGAAGATCCATGCTCGGCATAATGTCGACCATAACTCTCTGATGAATATGATTGGTAATTCTCCCGAAAGAGTCACCTTCTGGATTTTTACATGTGGTCACTTCCATAATACATACCCAAAGAAACGGATATTTCTCTCGCAACTGGTCAGATGTTATGTGAGAAGGAATGTAGACAAAGGGGAGATATTGCAAGTTCCGAGTGCGGAAATGGTCTAGGTGCTTCTGAGCCATGGCGGGCGGGACATAGATCAGGGACAAGATCTCCCGATCATACGGGGCCAGAAAGTGCGTAGGGTAGTGCCTTTCCTCGGCAGTTGAAGAAGAAACACTAGTTGAGGTTTGAGTGATTGGTGCGGATTGGCTTGGATCATGCCGTTGACTCTGTTCTAGGTTTACAGGTTGCCAATTCGGAGGAAGACTGGGGGCAGCACCACCCTTTTCAAACGCGGACATGATCCAATCAAGTTTGGCCTCGAGATGGGCAGTATTAGAACCGGATGTCGGCTTATTGCGCTTGCGCACTGTTTGCGCAGGCCGGCATTCCTTGCTCAGGCGCTGGCATCTACCCCAGTGTTAGTTCCGATTATTGCCACACTCTCTAGCAGTGCCACTCACCTTTCGCAGCCAGTACCGCTTGCGGGGATAATACATTTGCACTTGGCACGAGAACAGTTCATACACGCACTGCCATATGGCGCAGGGGTCCCACCTGGGACTTTAGCGGATTCCATCCCGATGCCCGGTGGGATTCGGGATTGGGAAATCAGATTGGGTTTAGGATATTGGAGGATGTTTGTCTCAAAAAGATGTAAATCCTAATAAGTAAAATGATGGCAAATAATGGCAATCTGCACGTCTGCGCAAGATTAGAATTTACGAAAAGAAGAAAGTAGAAGTAGAGATTTTCCTCAAAAAGCCTTCAAAGAAACAAAGAAAGACGGAATTAGCAGCGAAATCCGGCTGACTCAGGGACCCACTCTCCAGCCCTACTTTACTGCCCTTGGAGGTATACGAGGGAGCCAGAAACCCGCCTACACGGCTCTATTAGATCTCTTCTCAATATAGTTGAGGATGGCCCTAAGAAGGGGGAAATTCCCGACTAAAGCTTAGGAAGACACAGAATGTCCTCACGGTTTCTCAGAGAAGTCCACGGTGCTAACATTTGTATTTGATATGGCTTATCCCAGCCATATAATAATATCAGAGACCGCGCCAATAAACCTCAGCCTCACCATCACGTGCGATAGGAAACCAATGCCTACTTCGACAACTCCAAACCACCTTGGAGCCCAACAGATTACAATAGAGAGACACACTGATAGATATACGGGAAAGCAATCAGAAGCTAGTTGGCGGCGCTATGTCCTGCAATTTCAACTGCTCAGCTACCCCCGACTTATCTCCAAACAGTGATATCACTGGGATTGGGTATGAATTTCCCCCTAAGCCTTTCTCTCGTCTATCACGAGCGCATCTCACGTTCTTAGATTATTATCAACAACATCGTGACTGCCGGCTTCGCCGTAGTGATCATTTCACTCCACTATGTCGCCGTCTACGATCCAACCTGCGACCCGTTTCGAAAAGATGGTCAAACTCCACCAACTCCGTTTCGACCTAACCCGATAGACGAAGGTGCCATAGCACATCTTAAATTATTATTAGTGTGCGCGCCTTTCGTCAAAAAACGCAGCAAAAAACTTGCAACCTTCTTACTCAAGGTGGGTTAATTTATGACGTCGGATCGGTGAATCAGGAATGATTAAAAACAACTTTTAAAAACAGTGTATCCGGGCATTCAGTGACATACAAATTGTGACAGGCTTCTCCATCCTGATCAGCGGCTTTCTCCAGCTCAAATGTGGCCTATCAACCTATCATTGGCTAGTCATCGTCCACCTGGCCTGGCTTTCCTGTCTGGCTCAGTTATCTTGCTTGACGCTTCTACGCAACCATCTCCATGACCACCCGACCGAACGGGTATTGAGGTTACTGGTAGTGGGTGCATTGGTGATACTGTTAATCGTGGGGCTTAGTTTCACTGGAAACTATCACTGGGCCTTTGACGCAGACAATAGCGATCACCCGACTCTCAGTGACCCTGCAATCTGTTATATGCGCGCTCGGCCGGGGATAAATTCGGCTTTCTTGTCGATGCCTTTCTCGATGACCTTGATGATCTCCGGATTTGCTTTAAGGGTGATTAGCCTCTACGAGACGCTTTCAGTTGGTATTGTCCGGCGAGCTAGGACGTTCCTTATAGGACACATACGAAGGTTGTTACGCATTGTGTATAATTGGAGCCACGCATCTGGCTCGCCCCGGAGTCTGGAATTGATGCTTTGCTACCTTTCCCTCTTGTCTGTCTACTTCACGTGTTTGGTGTTCGTGGATGTGTGGGATTCTGCCATTAAAGAGGTCAGATATCATATATGACATGTGTGGATTACATCCCATGTTTTCTGACTTGGCATTAGGTCGTTTGGTTAAATGTCGCCTTTGCATTTGGTATTGCCCACCTGATAGGGACGATATATCGACCGGGGAAGATGGGCCTCGAGGCTTCGTTGACTGGTTTCAATGATTGGTCGTTTGGCCAAGTCGCGTCTGTGGTGTTACTAGCCGCACCGCTCATTACAATAATCGAGTATTTCAAGGACGGTGAGTCAAATCTGTTTATTCTCTAGGCTCAACTGAGAGGCCTGATACTCCCGCAGAAGATGAGGCTCGCGGAGAAGATGAGACTCCCACACAAGTTGAGGCTCCCGCACAAGATAAGGAACAACCACTCTCTGACGGCCAATCCGTACCCTCAACCGAACCCCCTTCTATGTCAAAGCCAGCCGTCACGGACCTTAACGACCCCGATAATGATTGGATCTCCCACCCCAAAATATCTGAGCTGATCCTCACACATCTAGTCACATTGACTTTTGCAGTTATCCGCTGGATGGCAGACCGTGATCCTTTCGGCAATACGAGCAAACTGTTATTAGGTACTCTCCTCTACGCGGGCCTTTGGATTGTTGTACTCATTCTTTGCTCTTTGATGGTGGAAACGGCATTTGCAGAAAGGAACCCTATACTTAATGTCTCTCTACAACAAGGGGTAAGGTTATACAGCATTGCGTCTATGAGTTTCCGCCTCCCCATTTTGGCGAGGGTTGCTTATTTTCTCCTTCCGCTGCTCATTATCGGTGCTTTTGCGTATCGATTTTGGGTTTGAGAATCTGACATTTCGGTATTTCCTTTTTTTTCAAGTCTTATACTCAACGGAGATCTCGGCCTTTGTGCGGTTAGCCTTGTGATAGATCCTTATCACGAGACCCCTGGGATCACTAACATCATACTATAATATACTACAACCTCGTATGTCTCCTGCAAAGAAAAATGTTAATATTACTTGGGCTAAAAAGCTTCTACAAGGCGCATATGCTATCGCATCCTAGTTTATCTTGTGTCAAAGTAGACAAGATGTCCAGATGTCATTGGCGCCGCGAACCCGAGTAAACGGGGCACGGCTATACACTAGGTGATTCGAAATGACGGGTTCAAAAGGCCAAACGAGACATCACAAGTCTCCACCAACATAAACACCAAACCCAGAGGGTACACTCCGAGTCCAGCCGGTAGTTTCGACATTGATCTATCCCTCATGTATTCCTCCCTTGATCCCCAGAGCAAAACCCCAGTCAAACCCGACGCCTGAAACGAGACTTGCTACTCACAGCCACTCAGTAGAAATAATCTACTGCTCGGTCTGGAAGTAGTTGAGGAGAACAGAGCGCTCCTGGGACTCCTCACCCCAGTCCTTGACGACGACGCAAGAGCAGTTGACGACCTTGCGGGCGTTACCCTCACGGTCGAGGGTGCCTGAAGAACAGAATGTTAGCAAATACACTCCAAAATGAATATCCTGGATCAATAGAGCGAAAACATACAGAGACCAACCCACTCGCCAAGCATCTTTCCGTCAGGAACCTTGATGAGGGGAATCTTGTGCTCAGAGCAGAGAGCGACAACAAGCTTCTTGTAAGCCTCCTCCTCGCAGCCCTCGTTCAGGACACACATGTGGGCCTCACGGCGGTCGAGGGCCTTGGCAGCCTCACGGAGACCACGGGCAAGACCGTCGTGGATCAGGGAGACGCGCAGAACACCCTTGAGGGCATCCAGGACGGACATCTGGCCGCTGCCGGCATCGGCAGAAACCTCGACCTCCTCGGCGGGGGCGACGGGGGATGTGGGCTCTTCTCCGTCCGACTAGATGATTCTTGTTAGTGTTGTGTGCTTCAATGGTTCCATTGCTTGGATCGTTGTCGTGACTCTTGAGACTTAAAATTGCAGTGGACTGGTACAGCGCATAGATAAGGAAGCCGACGAGGGGTAGCCTCTAGTACGGCGACGCAATCGCTCTCGCCAGCCATGTCCATTCCAGTAGCTCAATTGTCATGACGAGATGCGAGGCGGGTGTGGGTATGGTGTGAGGGTAATTGCACATATGAAACGTACCATTTTGTTGCTTGTTATGCTTGAAATCGGATGATCCTCGAAGAGTAGAGTTGTTGGAGAGAGAAATTAAGAAGTGGTGCGGGCGGCGTGAAATTTCCCGCTATTTCGACTTTTTCGGCTGTGTGTGCCCTACCCGATTATGTCATGCAGTCCCCGTAGATTTTGTCACGTGATATGTTTATACATATGATGAAGGCCCGCGAGCAAATGCGACGAGTGCAGTTCGATGGCGCTTTAAATCTAAATCTTTAGGTTTCTGGCTTAGTATGCGATTCGCTGCGTTGCTGCAAATATCTATATCTTCATGAGAAGGTAAGTTGAGTTTGAACTTGATGTTATTGACACGGGATGCATGGTTACATTCATGACCACAGTGACTACAAAAGAAACCACAGCGAAACTACCTAATAGTAGGATCATCACTGAACGCAAGAGGTATCATAATCGTACAATCAGAATCCACCCTGTACACCGCATCGCTAAATTGCTGACATCACGCCGGGTCCTAGCGAAAAGACGCTGAAAACAAAACTAGACGTATGTACTAGATCGAGAAGGGCCATAACCATTGAGCCCGGTTCCGTTGGTTTCGACTGAGGCTCCCAGGCCATGGCCATTGAGCTGGGGAGTGCTGAAGCCTGCGCCAGCCATCGGGGGCTCCGGATCGACGTGCATGTTCAAGAACTGCAGTTCTAAGCCATGCAGGTGGGGAATGTGTGGGACGAGGTCCGTGAAATCAGAGAGCTAGAAGACTTGTTAGTTGGGGAGCATAACTTGCAAGGCTCAAGAAAACTTACTCGGATCCAGAAGACATGCTCCATCTCGAAATACTTGGGTCGCGTGTCACAATCCTTCTGCATGATCTGTCCGATGCTCGAGCTTTGGAACCCAACATCATCTGTGTGGGTCAACATGCGACGGGTGACTCGCCACAGATTCACACGTTGAGTTGGTGTTGCCTTTCGCTTCTCCCAGCTGGCGTATTGCGAAAGTTGGAGATCATTGGTAGCCAGAAGAGGCGCAACCAAGTAGTTCGGGATCCATTTCTCGTCGGCGACATCCATGCCACAGCTAGGATCGAGTTGACGTGTGAGAGCAGTGACAAGAGGCATGAAAGACTTGAGCCAGTCATGGCTTTTCGCACGGGGATTATTGGAGCCCACGAGGTTCGCTGAAACACGAAGGCGACTGGGAAGTGCCTCACGACGTCGGTGCTCTGCTGCCTCCTGATCGCGGCGGATCTTAGCAGCTCGAGCGCGTTCTTGCTCCAATCGCTTCAGACGATCATCTTCGGCTTGTTTAGCGCGTCGTTGTTCAACCTCCTTGCGTTTGCGGTCTTCCTCTTCAGCTTTTTCAACCTGGGCCACTCGTTCGGCTTCTTCTTTGGCAAGTCGCTCGCGTTCGGCTTCCTCTGCAACACGCTTTTCATTTGCGGCACGCTCCTCTTGCGCCTTCTTGGCCTGCGCTTTTCGACGTTCATGGGCTTCAAGCTCGATACGTTTCGCGACGGTCATTGTGTCTTCCATGGTGTCGACTCTGGGCTCGTGCGATTCCTTTTTCGTATCGCCGTTCTTTTTGATGGGATCATGACGTGGTGAATTCGGGCGGGTTGGGGGTTTCTTAGAGGTGTCGGTTGATTTGTGTGGTTGAGGTTCAACAGCCCGAGCAGATTCATCGTAAGGTCGACGAGGATGGGGTTTGCTGGCATCATCAGGTTGCCTCGGTGCACCATGTGTAGCACCAGATGACTTATCTTCAGAGATAACACGTCTCTTCTTTTTGCGCGACTCAGGAGATAAGCGATCACCATCTGTGCCGCGCGAACGAGATCGTTCCGGGGATCCATCAGTGCGAATGCGCTTCAAAGACAACATATTGTCGGATACTGCATCAACACGCGGCTTCGGTGCCTCTTCACGTCCAGAGAACGAATCAGACGAAAAGAGACTCGGTCTACGCTCCTGGGGGCGACGTCCAGCAATGAGTCGTCTCTTTCGGATATCTTCGTTGGGTGCCAACCCACTAGACTCGCTGTCTCGTCTGGCGGATAACGAAGATTTGGGTTTGGAGGAATCCGATGGTCGTGATGAATCGTGTTCTTTTTGACGACGCTTTTCTTTGGCTGGATCCATTTCTTTCAAAGAATCGCGATTTCTGTTGGCGTTTGGGCTGTTGTTTTTTTTTCGCGCGACGGGGGAGGAAGACCCTCTGCGTGGGGGACGTTTCTCCTCCTTCTCTTTTCCACGAGCACGGCGGGGTGAGTCGTCTTTGCGACCCTTATCGGAACCTGCAAACCTTTCATACGCCTCCTTCAGAATCTGGTACTCATCCTCCCAGTTCTCACCCTGTCGACCCCGAGACAATTCAAAATATGTCCTTTCTTCAAACAGTCGTCGCGTGGGGTTGAATCCGGGTTGGTTTAAGATAAGCTGGATAACAGCGCTGTTTCCACGACCAATCGCAGCAAGCATAGGTGTGTTGTAACCCGGTTTTTGCCCACGCAGCGGGTTTGGATCGGCGTCTGCATTGCCCATCGCATACAAAAGAGAGAGGACATCGTGGTGGCCACCCTTTGCCGCAGCAATCAAGGAAGCATTGTCAGCTTTCTGCAAGATATTCAGAATGCTCACAACCCCAGCCTCATCACCTTTGGCAGCAAACTCTCGAAGGTTCTCGAATGTGGGTTTCGTCCACAGAAGGTCATTCCTCGTGGCTTCGCTTCGCCCACCCTTTCGTCGATTTGCCGCGCTCACTGGAGGAGGGCTGCGCATCGGAGGCGAATCTCGGGGGCTAGCTGCCGATCCTCTTACTGCCGAAGCGCGTCGCGAAGAAGGTTCCTTACTCTCTGGTCTTGTATGTTCCTCTGAGCGTCGACCAGGCCGCAAATTGGCCTTGGCATCAGCAAGGGCTTTCCGCATCTCGTCATACTCGTCATCGTCAACAAACGACGGAACCAACTCATAAGGCTCATCGCCTTCAGCATTCACAGTTCGTGGGTTTGCACCTGCATCAAGCAGAAGTTTGACCACCTCCACATTCCCGTTCTCCACAGCATCAATCAACGGTGTGTCTTTGTCAATGTTTTTAGTATTAATCTCACAGCCTGCGTCTAGCAGGAACTTGACGATTTCAGCTTCTCCAGCAAGCGATGCGATCTGCAGGGGGGTGTTGCCTGCATTATCGGGAATATTAATGTCTTCCGGTCGTTCGGCATGGCGCCTCATCACTTGATCATGTTTGCGATCCGCGCACGCTCGCGCAAGAGGAGTCCGGCCACTCTTGTCACGCAATTTTTTCGGTCCCATTTGCTTAACAGGCGACGCGGACGCACCGACTCCAGAGCCAAGCTTCCGCAAATGCGCCCCCGGCAGTGGAGAACCGCTTTGAGAGGAGGACGTCGATTGTCTATCCTCGGAGCTATGTCGCCCGGAGCCTGTGAGCACGGGGGTTGGTGCCTTCTTCTTCGTCGGAAGCTGGGAGCCCGAAGCAGATCGTTGGTGAGATGGTCGACTGGGTGAGAGTGATCGCGTGTTGGATGGAGGTCTGGAGAGGCGAGTATTATTGGTATGTTTAGGTTCCCGCACAGGATGGGATGCTGTGTGGGAGTTTGCGCGACGACGATCTCGTTGTTCCTCGGCACTGTCACTTAAGCTTCGCTTATGGAAAGCACGAGCTATCTCTGATGCACTGCCAATCCCATTGGGAACGCCTTCCGTTTCTGACATCTGAACATCATCGACCTTTTCAATCTTGACCACCGACGGCGAAATTGCTCGGTGGCTTGGAGAAAGAGGGCTCCGTTCCTTTTCCCGTTCATGTTCGCGAGTGTCACCAAACACCCTTGGTTTCTTTCGCTGGTGTCCATCGGTTCCGTTGAGCTCATGGCGACTCAGGTCGTGCTTGATATGTTTTCTTTTCTTCTCCGGCGACAAGGACTCTCGGCCTGATTGAATTATTGTCTCCGCCTCCGAATCCGCCCTAGGACTAGGAGGGCCATCCTCCTCCCCTTCTGAATGTACACGTGTCAGTCCATCGCTGTCAACCCGTGGGTAAGAGTCTGCACGAGCTCTGCCCGGTGATGAAGGATCAACAGGATCTGGCTTTACCGTGGCAAGCCTATTCTGACCGACGTCCAGGGCAGCTGGTAAAGAGACTGCCTCGACATCACTCATAGCGATAGCACTCGAAGACTTGAAATACCGCTCGTCATTTTGGGGGGGAAACGCGACCGACAAAACAACCGTGGTCGACAACGCCAGCAGTTGTGCGCGAACGCCGATCCTCGACCGCGGATTTCACCCGCAAAAGAGTCTTGAAACGTGGGCAATACCGCTCCGGGGTACGGGAGCGATACGGGATGTTGGTCGAACTCCAGATATCGGATTTACTGGTATAGGTATATAGATCGAGGTGAAATCGAGGGTTGCTTTTCACTTGGGGGTTGAATGGGGGAAGAAAGAGAAGGGAAGAGGAAAAGCGGGAAGGGAAAGGAATGGGACTGGATTCATTGGGCGTAGGGCTCCTCACTGGGTCAGGTTTGGCCACAGTAGAATCATCGAGCTGCAGGTGGGGTTCTGACTACTGGAAACATGCTTGTATCTTAAGAGGGGTCGAGGTTAGAGCTCAAGTTGATATTTATTTCTTTTTCTTTTTGTCTCATCCTTGAATGTTCTTCCTGTTCCGAGGGCGAATATACTCCATACGGGTGATACGATTGATACGGTGATACCGTGAAAAAAGGGGGCACAGACCCTTGGGCACTAACCCTAATTCGGAGGTTGCAAACGCGGCAAACATCCTGTCCAGGCTAGACCAAATGCGGTCCAGTGGATTTTGCCTCCAAAAAGTCGCCACTCAGCGCATCAGCCCATATCTCGGCCTATCCATGGACGGTCTACGGACCTCGGGAGTACTCCGTATCTTTGTTAGTATTGTCATTAAACTTCGATAGAAACTCAGAAATAACTCATACTTGCGTACGGGACCTTTGGCTGTAATCTATCCCAAACGCCCCAATAAGCTAATCCCGAGGCCGAACTAACTCCAAACGCCCCCGTTGGCAAGCAGCTGAAGGATCGCCGGGGGCTGGGTTTCTCCACAATAAACACCTCCCTAAAACACCTCACTGATATCATCACAATGGCACTAAACTAGAAACAAAAACGAAACAAAAACGGGAAAAGAAAAAGCGAGAAGGAGGGGAACAAAAGGCTCATCCTACAGCCATGTCTCTAATCTCTCAATGGGTCGATAACACCCTAGAAGCCACCGGCATGGATGCCGTGGATGCTCTACGCGCCTTCTTCATGCTGGCCGCCGCCACGGTACGATCCGCCCTGTGATAATGGTGATAGTGAACACCACCTGCAGATGAACCTAACTAACGCCGACCCCTCGTATGCAGACCATCTCGATCAGCATCCCAACCTCATTACGGTCCCGCTTCCTCACATATGGGCCACGCGCTACGTCCGGCTCGATCTCCACCGACTCTGCACCACCTTGCGCCCAGAACCCCTCCACCGAGAGCAAGGGCTTCCTTGACTATCTCGCTACTTGGAAGGTGCCACATAGCTATTTCACACATTTCTACGTCGCATCTGTCCTGTCGTCGGTCTTCTGGGTTGCGCAATTGCTATCGCGGGGTGTGGTGTTCCAAGCCATCGCATCCCGCGTTAGCGAGGCCCACCAACGGCACTCCATGTCCCTGACTCAGTTGGTGATCTGCTGTGTGCTGTTGGCTGTACAGGGATCCCGGCGTCTATGGGAGTGCTTTGTCTTTTCAAAGCCTTCGTCGTCACAGATGTGGTTTATGCACTGGTTGTTGGGCTTGGCTTTCTATCTAGCGGCAGGAGTTGCAATTTGGATCGAGGGTTCCGGCGCTCTGTTGACCGAAAATCTGACCATTGCTCATCTGCAGATGACCAACGCCCCAAGTTTGCGCACTTTCTTCCTCGTCCCGCTCTTCCTGGTGGCGTCTGGGCTGCAGCACGACTCCCACCACTACCTGTACTCGTTGAAAAAATACACCCTCCCTGAGCATCCCATGTTCCGCGGTATTGTCTGTCCTCACTACGGCGCTGAATGCGTGATCTACTTGTCGCTGGCGCTGTTGGCTGCGCCACGGGGTGAATGGGTCAATAAAACTATGTTGTCTTGCCTGGCTTTCGTTGCGGTCAACCTAGGTCTGACAGCTCGCAATACCAAGCAGTGGTATGCACAGAAGTTCGGCAAAGACTCAGTGCAGGACTGGTGGTTTATGATTCCTTATGTCTACTAATATAGAGCGAAAAAAATAAAGAACCGGAATTTGGAGATGAGGTACTCGTTACCTAGCACCTAAAAACTTCAAGGTATCTCCCATCTTCGCAACACGACGTACGTCCCTGTACGTAAGGCTAGTCCTCTTCTTCCGCTCGTACCACCCGCTCTGGTATGGCTCCCTCTCCCGCAAGAGCTCCCAGTTGCAGATAGAGTGGGGGCCCAGATCCTCATCTCTCGTCGTTTCCTCGATGCCATGCAAAAGATCCGTGTACATCTTGCCCCTCATGATCAGCAGACTCCGTCTCTCCTGCAATATCCTGTATTGAGGCCTTCGATTTGCGTCGGGTATCCCGGCAACATCTCTTCCAGCCTTGGCTGGTGTAGCGTATTTTCCCCTGTCGCCCTGTGTGTGTTTGTGGTACAAATCGAGCACAATTGGTGCCCCTAGGCTCACTGTCGCAACGAGGGGATAGTATGCTGCGCCATCTTCGTGCGGCATGATCCCTTGTCCAGGCTGGTACTCGTTTACTAGGACATGGTTGGGTGCCTTGTGTGGGGTATCGTTGAAGATACGTAGGGCCTCAAATCGCGGCTCGATGATCGGTGATCTAAGCCAAGCTGGTAGGGGCGATGCAAGAAGGGCATTGCTCTTGGTGAGGCCTGATGGCCATGTTTGAAGTCTGCGGTGCGAGAGCTGGGTCCAGCGCGGCAGTGGCGCTGATTTTACCTGTGAATTGGTGCAGTGAGTGAAATCCGAACATGAATAGTGACATGCAGCGTTTATGTAGGTATCGTTGAAGAGGAATGACATAATGACAAGCACATATATTTGACCAGTATTTAACATCAATCGTTCAAGGCATGGTTTCTAAGAACATGCTCATAAGACAATCATTGACGCTTACCTTCTGGAGTAACCAATCCTCCTCGTCCTCTGTAATGAAGTCCGATATATAGAATACATCCTCGGGCAATGCGGTGATGCGTGCATCTTCAAGATCGAATCCCATTTGCTTTCCAGGCTCGGACTAGTTCCTAGACCCGATGTGCTGATTTCAGTGGTCTTTCGCCTCAGCAATAGTGAAGGATGAGAGGTTCGCAGTATGGGCGAAGGCAAAGTAAAGATATATAGTTTTGTGGAACACCAAGATATTTCAGCGATAGACCGGAATACTTCCTTTATGTACATATGCATAACTCTTTAGAGCAGAGAGCCACGTCGTCACACACTTGTTCTGCCTTACAACCTCAGGCAGAAATATCACCCCACATCAGCTTAATCCGAACAACCAACGGCCGAGGCAGCGATAACAACATATCCTTGAATCCTCTCGTCCACAATGGCCCCCAAGAACAACGCCAAAGCCGCCAAGGGCAAGGGCAAGGATGCCTCCGCCGATGACGCCAAGGGCAAAGGCGGAAAGGGAGGAGCTGTGAAAGGCGCACAGTCGATCAACGTGCGACACATTCTTGTATGTTTTTTTTTGGCTCTTCTCCTTTAAATTTCAGATCATCTGTCTATAATTCTGGGGACTGGTCCATATACTACCAGATCCTGCGGACAGTGGAAAGGGCTGTTGGATGGCTCATTCTGATCATGTCTAGTGCGAGAAACACGCCAAGAAAGAAGAAGCCCTGGAGAAGCTTCGCAATGGCACCAAGTTTGATGAGGTCGCTCGTGAATTCTCGGAGGATAAGGCTAGACAGGGTAGGTAGATCTCTGCGGGTCGAAATCAACAGGACTGATTTCTTTTCTGCAGGAGGGTCGCTCGGATGGAAGACGAAGGGTGGGCTGGATCCTGCATTTGAGAATGTTGCTTTTGAACTTGAAACTAGCACGACGGGAAACCCCAAATATGCTGAGGTCAAGACTGGGTTTGGATATCATATCATCATGGTTGAGGGGCGGAAGTGAGCCATTACTTACACCATCTAAAAGACAAACAGCCACCTCAAGAATACCCAGAAAAGACTCGACGAAATATGTAAATGAGAAGCTATCAAGACGCTGTAACTTGTGCTTTGTGCTTTATATTTTGGGAATCTAAATGCTCTTCTGACGAAAGTTTATCTATGCAGCCTAGCAAAACATCTCACAACTCTTTCTTCGCAGCCTCAATCTTCGCCCGCTCTTTCGCCTTCTTCTCTGATCTTTGCACCACTGCTTCGGCGCCAATTCCGCCGAAGACCAGACCAATCCCCAGCCACTGGCCACCGGACAGAGAATGTCCGAACCAGAAAACGCTGAGCAGCATAGTCAACATCTTGCGTGTAACAGTGACTGTGACAAGCAGCAGTGAAGAGAAGCGAGACAGAGTGTGGAAAATAAAGAGCTGACCAATAGCTCCGCACGCCGCGAACCCAAGAACATGCTTCAGTGCCTCTGGGTGGCGGGAGAGGAAAGAGAAGGCACCAAACAGCTCAGTCTCAGTGGAAGGGGGAATCGGGAAGGGCAGGAGGTTATGCAAAATCCCGCTCTGTGAGAGATGCGGCATGATCAAGAGATACGCAGAAGTCAAAATGGTCGAGAGAACATTCTGAGCTACCATCATCTGGGGTCCGGTGAACCGGGTGTACAGTTTGGGCGAGGAGAAGACGTGGTCTTGCATGGTGTTGGTCAGGCCATCCAGAAGGAGGTTGATAGACAACAAGAAGATGCCCCATCCGGAGGATCCAGACTGGCCCTTGGCAGCGACTTTCTTACTAGTTCCTGGGTGGTGCAGACTGAAAGTTGCAACACCGAGAGTGACCATCAGGACAACACCGTACTTGTACAGTGGGTATCTCTTGCGGAAGATGGTCAGGTGCAGGACCATGACCGGGAGGAGCTTGCATGACTTGGCGAGGATGAATGTCAAGTAATCGATGTGTTCGAGACTGGCGTAGCCGAAGGGTGACGCCAGTGACGAGGAGATTGCGACTAGAATCAGGGGGAAGATGATCCGGCGCGTGGGGAAGACAGGTGGGATCTTTTGGCCACTCGGGCTTGAGAACAGGAGGTATGTGAAGCCGGTGATGGCCGCAAAGGAAGATTGGACCGTGTTCAGCACCAGCGAGTAGGTGAATCGCTCTGTTGGAGGGTTTGGTTCCGCAACGGTTACAGGACGAACCGGATAGCTGGTCGTCGTGAGCGCCTCCTGTAACACACCCCACGAGAGGCTTTTTGTCTTATTAGTTTCTTTGACCGGTCTCAGGAATCAAGCGAAACGCGGTCGAGGCACTTACAATGCCGCATATATACCAAGAACGCAAATCACAAGTTGCGTCAGCCCAGGGCTGTCGGCGACTGTCTCCAGGGCCGCTGAGGCTTTTCCGGAGACGTTTCCATTGGCGGTGGAAGGTGTGTCTGCGTTGCCACTTCCAGCATTTCGTGGGACATCTGACTCTTCTGAGACGTGCATTAATTGAGAGGGGGCTCTCTGGAGCGGAGCTGCTTGCTTTTGTCGTCCCATTGCGACAAACTGGGGCGGTATTCAAGTTGGAAATGCAAGTAACTTGAACAGACAACGCAGTATAAATTATGCGAACGGATTGGAAAATGACCCTGTGTCGAGGATAGTCCTAGGTTGTCATGAGGGTCCTGGAGGGTTTCTGTACCGAAACCAAAAGAATAACAAGATGCCATGTGTTCTTACTTCGCCTTGTCTATGGCCCACCCCCACGTAACTTTTTATTGGCTTTTTTTACTCGAACCCGAGATGAAAATATGAAAGCAAGAAAGGACTGGGCACTCCTCAAACTATCATTCCTAATCTCTCTTTTAAACCAGGGACTTCCAAGCTTCATCTCTCAACTATACAATCCAATTGAGGAAGGCGGTGTCCAGAGATCGGATCTATACAGGCGGTGAAGATTCAAAAATCCCGTGGTTTCTCGAACGGAGCTCCCTCTGTTTAAGTCATATAAAACAAAAAGGTTCCAAGAAAATATCCATGATGGCAAACAAACAGGAAGCCACCAAACGGCCCAATGCATCGGCCGTCACCGAGCACATCACCGAAAAAGACTACGATTCCCCCCACCTCGCAACATCCGCCCAAGTCCAGCACAACCTCGGACACCAACACCTCTGGACATCTATAATAGGAGACATCATTCTTGGACAAGCAGAAGACACAAATTCATTAAGCAGAGACCCTCACCAACCACCACGAGAACCAATTCCTCTGCTCTCCGGCTACCCCCCACACCGCGTGTACACACATCCAGACGAGCAGCTGTACATGCTAGAAAACGGGATTCGCGAAGACGACCTCAAGCCAGAGCGCATGTTCGTGGTGCCAACTACACAGGGTCAGCCGTGGACCTTGCGCCATATGGCTGCTGTGTTTGACCGGCTCCCTGAGTTCAAGCAAAAGGCTGAAGAGCATGATCAATCTGTCAATCCTACGAGCATGCAGCTGGGGGCTGAGAGTCTCGATCCCGAAAAGGCAGAGAAGCTGGCTCTGTACTATGATAAGAAGGAGAAGGCTCGTTTGACTAAAGAATGGGGCGCGCAAAGGTGTTTGCTTGCTATGGTGGATAAGGGGATGGGTGGGGACGGGACAGTGGCGTATTATGTTGTGCACGAAGGCGAGGTGAAGCCGAGGCAGAACTGAGTGCGCGGAGCTGGATGGTTCTCATATGTACATAATAATACCTATTGCATTCTAACCCCTCGCGGGTTAATGACATGATGTGACGAATACATTCAAAAGAGCAGCGAAACGACATTGTCCATGTGGTATCCAGAGTAGAGTATATTCAATCGACAACGACTTGCATGATACACATGATCAGCTAGCCACAGGGTATAGTGATAAGCAAGAAGCAAGGAATGCTAGATGGCTGTACAGAAGGCTTGACAATATGCTCGGAGACTGCTAGAAACTGCTGCAGGAAGAAAATCAAGGAATTAGGTCACCGCGGTCATTGGATATGACCTGTTCTTGCTCCATTCGGCAACTCGAGCAATACTCCTCATACCACTGCTTGACGTTGTCTGCATGCTCGGCAAAGACACGCTCAGCTCTGGCCGTTCGGTTCGGCTGCGAGTCGTCGCCCTGGGTGGCCTCTCCGCCAAGGAGAACCTCGACCTGGCGACAGCGCCGGACCTCCTCGCGGAGCCAACGTTCCCACTCGGTCTGAATGACCTCTTTCTCGATGCTGTTCACGACACGCAATGCGACAAGAAGGTTGTGTCGGTACATGCCAAGACGCTCACGGGTTTGCTGGAAGCGTTTGATGGCACTCTTGGTCAATGCATCCCGGGGTCCCGAGGGACTGAGCGACAGAGGCATTTCGGAATACCGCGTGGTCTGCTCGTGGAAGGTGGCGAAGCAATCGCTGGCATTGCCGGTACCGGGCCAGACTGTGGAGTTGGCAACCGCGTCATCAATATCCCGCATGTAGATAGATTTGCTCATAACGAGGTTTGGCTGTACACCCAGTCGTGCCATGAAGTTTCCCGCATGTCTCTCGTGCCACCAGTCCCAACTATCCCGCGAAGAATAGTATCCGTTTAGAATTGCACTTGTGGCCAACATGGTCAAGATGATCTTGTGTACACTCACGGTCTTCCAAGACCAGCGAACTACATCAAAGGCCCACATCATTAGGAAGGAAACACTCGTTTCGAGGAATGACAAGAAGGTCTCGAGAAGAAGCTCGTGCATGGCACGCTGCGTTCGAGGCTTGCGGGGTCCCAGCTTCAGGTTGGAACCAGCGCCACCAAATTGGGAGACTTGACTTTGGCGTCCAACGTGGCCGAAGATTGTGATAGCTTTTTTGGTACGACTGTGTGCACCCAATCGGCGTACTTGATCACTGACTAGGTCGACAAGATCTAAGGAGTCTTGTTCTAGATCATCACTTGCTTTTTTGTCGATCACGTCTGGGTACATTTGTTAGATTACTGTATTCAATTCAATGGAAGGGGTGGGAGGCGAGAACTTACTTTTAAGGCCATAGGGAGACCACAGCCACTCGACTTTCGTATAAATAGCAAGCTTACTCTTCGACTTGGCCTGGAATGTAATGACAACCTTGCTAACCAACCGGAACGAACGTCGGAAGGGGAGATGCCACGGGGTCTTTTTATCTGTGATCACGTAGCACAGGTGGTCGTTGAGAACATCGATGATCTGATAATCCGAGATCGCATTTTCGTGGGTACGACCTATACAAAATCAGTCATGGCTCGATCTCAAGATCATCGATAATCAAGCCTACCAAGGATGTCTGTCGTATCGATATTGTAGTGGAAGTCACGCTTCAGATGCCGCAATTCTGTACTAGCCCATGGGCCTTGTTTGATGTCTTTGGGATGTCAGCCATGGATAAGTGATTGGGGAACTATAGTCGACGAACCTCGAGCTTGCCTCTCATGTAAAAGAAGCTGCCACACGGCGCTTTTGTCGCCAAATAATATGTGGAACAAAGCTTTAGGGCTTATATCGAGAATCTTTTCGGTCACCAAAACAAGATCACCTTGTGGAACATACTCCACGGGTTGGGTTGGGAGTCTGAATTTAGCAATATCCCGACCACGGCCAGTCCTGCCTCCATCCAGCCCGAGATCTTTGTCGATGTAAATAGGGAGTCGAATGTCCTTTGCATCACCCGGGTCTGTAACCTTGCCCCCGTCGTGTTTGATGTCTGCAAGTCCAGACGAGAGATCTTCCCAGCTATCTGCGCTGGAAGTTCGGGCTGGAGACCCAGTGTCCATCTTGATCAGTGCTTTGATCAAAGATTCCAAAGTCAATTGCTCGACGGCAATGGAGCCTTGGATCAAGAAGTTGAGCCGTTTTTGAAGAAGTCGGAGAGGTTCAAGGAAAGTTTTAATCGTAACCCGACCAGAAATATCACTGCCGAGGGGTGGAATAGTATGAAGGAAAAGGAAATCACAGTCTCGCCCAGGAGCTGCAGTTACTTCCTTAATGCTCTCCAAAGACACACCGGTAGTCAAAACCAGTCCGAAATGATGACTGTAAAAATAGATGTTCCTTGTTGTGACATAAGCTCGTCCAGGGAACTCTTGCTGGTCATTAGGGCTCCAGGTGGCTCTAAATACCAAGACCAGTGCTTCCACTCTCTTGACGTATGGGAAAAGCAATCTAAACTGAGCGTCTTGAATCTTCAATTGTTGAGGATAATAGCTGGGATATTCATGCCCGATACCAAGTGCAACTTGCGTGAGCTTAACATCATCTCCATCAAGGCTTACTGTCTGCCTGTGGCGTGGACCTGATGGCTGTCGAGGGGCCGCTAAAGCACCCGATGCATCGGGCTGTGCAGCAATCGTGTGGTCGCTCAAGGTGGAAGACGGCCGGCCTTCTGAGGTGTCATCAGATACTCCATCGATCTGGCGTTGTTCCCGTTGAAGCTTGTTCATGAAACCCCAGTTAGAGCTACCCCATAGGTTCGCCATCATGCCACTGGGCATGCCACCCGTGCTATCAGAGACACCTAATCCAATACCTCTTTCATTGCTCACAACAACTACCGCCTTGCTCATGCTTGTGGGTGCCGGGGGATTGGCGAGCGTGGCAGGTGCAAGACTTGAACCAGGCTCATCCACGTTGCTTAAACTGCGACCTCGTTTGTCACCGGCATTCACGTTGATTGGACCGGTGTTGCTGTAAGGGAGAATATTATGGCTGGCAGAGATGAGACTGGCTATTCCGCCTGCAGGGCCGGGGATGGAAGGAGATATTGGAGCCGCATTGTTCGATTTGCGGTGAAGATCCAACTTTTGGATGAGTCTAGAGGTATGCTCTCTTGCATGTTCTCTTGCAGAGCTCTCATTATCCAAGCCTGTGGGTCTTCTGCCGCTTCCAATGTCGGTACTATTTCTCATGATATGTCCATCACGATCTGGAACAGGAAGCGTCATACTGCGATCTCCCGCGCCGGCCTCATCGTTCGTATGGGGGGTAAGAGAGTCTGCAGGATCTGCAGCGAACTCGATAGCCGGAGGTTGAGAAATTGAAAATGCAGGGTCTTGAACTGTGACTTTTCCAGAAACCGAAAGATCAGTGCTTGCGGGGTTTTCCAACGCTTTCTGTTTGGCCGCCTCGAAGGCACCAATCCATTCCATCAGCTCCTTTTGGTTATCCGCCTGCAGCAGAATTGTGTTGTTCTTGGTCTTCACTTGGAAGCAAAACCGACGTTCCTCTTGGAATGCAGGACGAATACTACAAAGCAGTACACCGATTCGTTCACTCTCTTCGACGCCACCAGTACGAGAGCCCTGTACAAGACACCCAAATATGCCGTGTTTGAGAAAAGCCCACCGCTTGACCCAAACAGTGCGAGTGGGCTTTCCTGACAATGTGCGCAAATACAGCCACCCTTGCTTCTCTGGTCGCATCTCTTTGCTCACGTTAAGTGTCGAAATTGGACGAGAACCAAGGTACGGAACGGTCGAGATATTATAGTCCTCCAGTTCACGAGACGGTCGAGCTGCAAACTCTGCGGCTTCTTCAATGTGCTTCCGGGTGGACAGCAGCTCTCGTTTGGATGATTTCTCACTCCCTTCCATCTCATGAAGCCAACCCTTAATACGATCCATCTCGCGGGACCATTTCGAGAAGGTCCCGCTGTTGTGGTTGTGGAATCCCCGGAATTCCCGCCATTGATCGCAGGAGACCTTAACCAGAAGTCGGTCAAGTGCATTTCGTACCTGAGGACCCTGCACAGAATAGTCCATTGCCGCTTTCAGGTAGGCCTTGTGGGCTTCGTGCAGCTGGAACGCTTCTTCTCTCAGGGCCGAGGCCTCCTTGGACTTCGACTGAGAGGCATATCGAGCTTGGAGGTAATCGTACGATTTCTGGGATTGTTCGAGGTTGCGACGAATTTCCTATGGCCGTATAAGATGATCCTGCACAAGAAAAAACCGGTTTGGGGGCTCCTCAATACCTTAAAATGCCGCAGATCCTCTTGAATGAAATCTCGAATGGGTTCGGAAATCAACGACTCCAACTTTCTGGTTGTTGTGACAAGTCCACTCCACAGATCTTTAGATCCCTCACCACATCTCCTCATAGCCAAAAGTGTGTAATCATGGTCAACAACCGCTTCCGAGACAACGAGGGGATGTGTCGAGTAGGAAAGAAAGTTATTCACTACACTCTCTAGAGCGGCCAGCTCACAGGAGAGCTTTGTTGCAGCTTTGGCATATCCGTCGAGCCATTTCTCTATAAAATCGACCTGATCGGAGAAATGGAGGGTGGTGGCACGAAAAGTAGGCGAGTCGAGGGCAGCTTCTTTGAGACCGACCGGGCTGAAAATGGACGTATACGTTAGTATGCAAGAAAGAGAATTCTAATATGAGACATATCAGGTACTCACACAACGCTCACAAGCTTCCCAACTTGGGGCAACGGGGTTTGTGCTTGAGTCGACATCTAGTGCATGTCCCCAGCCATACACTTGGCGCGAACAAAGACCAAGACGCGAAAGATGTGGATGGGCCTCCTCTCGTTCATGCCACTCGATGATCAATTCAACTTCAAGGCCTAGAAGGAGACCACGTGTATGATTTTCCGGCTTGTAGCGGTCTCTACTTTGCCTGAGACCTCCTCAGACCTGCTCAGGTGAGCCTCCGTGTGATCTAATTGGCTACGTCAGTGATGGGGTTCCTGCCTCGGTGCCTGATCTTCGAGGCTCTTGGAATAGGGCGGCTTCTCTCGAGAGGGCGGTGTGAGATTTTTTTCTTTCTGCCAATTGGAGATTTCAACGAGTCGGCCTTTAATCATATACCTGATCGCTCAAAATGGAGCCTCCTTCTAAGAAAATGCGAAAGCTCTTGGATGAAGATAGTGACAGCGAATCTGGGGACGATGCTGGTGGAGTTCTCCTCGGCAAGCAGTCGTCTGATACCGGGTTCAAAGTCAATGAAGACTACGCTCGTCGATTTGAACACAACAAGAAGAGAGAGGAAGTTGCGAGATGTACGTGCTAACACTCGATATTTTTGCACTTTTTCGCATGTGCTAACGTTGGCTTGGTTCACAGTGGAAGCAAAGTATGGCAAATCCTCCAGCCTTGGAAACCGCCCAGGCGAAGACTCTGAGGATTCCGACTCTGAAGAAGAGGATGACGATGCTGAACTCGCTACATTAGCTCTGGATGCTGAGATATCAGCGACATTGAACGCTATTCGATCCAAGGATCCTCGCGTTTACGACAAAGATGCCACCTTCTACACCGAGTTCGACCCAGAGGAAGCCGCTGCCGGAAAAGGACCCAAGGAAAAGTCCATGACACTGCGACAATACCATGCGGAGAATCTTTTGAGCGGTGTCAACCCAGCTGAAGAGGAAAATACCCCCAAGACCTATGCCCAAGAGCAAGCCGATTTGAAGAATGCTATTGTCAAAGAGATGCACGGAGCGGCAGACAAGTCCGACGAAGAGATGGAAGATGGCGACGAGTTCATGGTCCGCAAGCCTGGCCAGGACGTTTCGCTGCCCAAATCTGAAATCAAGCTCGATATCGAGAATGCGGACAAGGACCCCGAGACTTTCCTGTCCAACTTCTTGTCAGCACGAGCCTGGATCCCCGCCGACAAGCCAGGGCTGCATCCGTTCGATTCGGATGAGGATGACGATGTCGACCGGGCGGAAGCTTTTGAAGAAGCATACAACTTCCGCTTCGAGGACCCCAGCAAGATGAACGAGGTGATAGTCACACACTCTCGTGATCTCACCAACAAGCAATCTGTCCGTCGCGAAGAAAAGAGTTCCCGTAAGAAGCTTCGCGACGCCGAGCGCGCACTCAAGGAGGAGGAGAAGAAGCAGCGCGAAACTGAGAAGAATCGCCTCCGCAAACTGAAGACTGAGGAGCTCCAGAAAAAAGTGGAGCAAATCAAAGAGGTTGCGGGGCTTCGTGCCTCACAGTTCACAGACGAGGACTGGTCTCGTTTCCTGGACGCTTCCTGGGACGACTCGAACTGGGAAGCGGAGATGCAAAAACGGTTTGGCGAGGAGTATTACGCCGGGGAGGAGGGCGAGGACAGCGAAAATGAGGGAAGCAAGAAGAAGAAGCATCCTAAGAAGCCTACATGGGATGACGATATCGATATCAAGGACTTGGTCCCAGACTACGAGGATGAAGAAGCGCAGCCCACACTCGAACTATCAGAAGCCGAAGACGAAGATGACGACGAAGCTTCCGGGTCTAAGAAGAAGAGCAAGGCCGAAGAGAAGCGGATTCAGAAACGCGAGGCCCGCAAAGACCGTCTTCGCATTGAGAATGCGGTTGAGCGCAACCTGGATCTCGATATCACCTTGCTTCCCGGAGCTACAAAGAAGAACGCCACACAGTTCCGCTACCGCGAAACCTCACCGCAGAGCTTTGGCTTGACAGCACGGGATATCCTCATGGCGGAAGACACACAGCTCAACAAGTTCGCTGGTCTGAAGAAGCTGGCCACCTTCCGCGAAGAAGACCAGAAGCGGCGCGATCAGAAGAAGCTGGGCAAGAAGGCCCGGCTTCGCGAGTGGCGCAAGGACACTTTCGGTGATGAGAATGGACCAGTGTTCAAGTTCGGTGGCGATGTCCAACCTAGTCAGGCCAAGGAGGCTGTTGATGAGGATAAGGTTGATATTAGAGAAGGAGATGGCACACGTAAGAAGAGAAAGAGGTCGAAGAAGCATTAAACGTGTCGCATCTGTCAGTCTACCATTGTTCATGGCATTTTTCGAATCAATTTATGAAACGAAGCAAAATCTGTTCCCTTCTAAGTTGAAACGCCTACTGGGGCGCTCAAAAACAGTTCCTTACGATAATATATCTCAGCTGTAAATCATCATTCAAAACAAACAAAGTGCAATTGAACAAGAACATGCAAATAGGCAATTTGAGGAAGTGCTGGTGGTTGTGCACTGGGAATATATATTTGAAGCTTTCTGACAGAGCTGGAACATAAAAACACCAATTGCATATTTAGTTCGCTGCCTAATAGTCACATATGTATGAGTGATATCACAGCTACCAACGGAGCTTGGAAATTCTGTCGAGAACAGCTTTTCCGCAATATGTTTGCTTCTAGGCCTATATGCATACCTGTAGAACTCCGTCCCAAAGCGGAAAGCTCCCATGCGATGCGGGCCCACTCAGGCGCTAACGGTTGCTGGGGCGAACCTCGGGAAATTTTAATTCCAAGCTAGCTATAGGAAGCTCCTCATAACGCCATTAATTATGACCTAGGCAGCTTGAAATGAATTGAGCGTACGGAGTACTCCATACAGACAGTTTCCTTGAGGACCAAGGAAAGTGGAGCCATGCTGTATACTATTGGGTACCTGGCATTGTTTAACATGTGAAGTACCCAGGTACATCGTCCATGCGGCGGTCCGTCACCTTAAAGTTTGTACCCGCGACATAAATAATAGCAAGGAAAAAATGTCTCATATGAGAGCCCAGGTATCTCTCACATATCGGCGGTTCCGTATTACCAGAAGACTTGGGAGGGATCACGTCTGCTCAATTGGGTTGTTTATGCTCCAATGTTCGAGATAATCTCACGAGTAAGAATCGAAGATAAGGAATAAGATGGTTAGTGCAGGGCGTCGAGGAGACCTGGGGAGAATCCACTGGCCCGAGGATGAACAAAGGCTCCTCCCTCCATACATATACTAGTAACATCGGGTCTTTTAAGCTCAAGCTCAAATGGCCAACTAATCAAGAGCTACATGTTCGAAACCATCCAAGAGCCCTAGAACACATGGCTAAAGAGGAATAGCTACGTCGGTGGCAAGTCCGAGATATAATTTTTATGACCGGCTCGCCATCGGATACCCGGCCAGCGAAAAGGAGGTTGCCCCGGGGAGTGGAGGCTCGGCATTGGACAGGGAAATATACGCCGTACCCCTACGGTACTATGGACCGGCGCTTGGGCCGTCGCTCGGGACTACAGCACGTCGACGATCACAGTGAAAAAGTAGGATATTGATGATTTCCACAGAAAACAAAGTGAATTTATAGACTACTGTATTGTAGACAGAGACAGGCACATTTCATAGACCCCAAAAGACCCCCATATGCCCATAGCACCAGACCCAATGTCAAGACCAGGCCAGATTGCAGAATTTTCAGTGGATCGGGAGATATCGGCAGGAGGCAAAACAATACGGCCCAATAACCGTAATATACAGTAATTTCAACCCCTGGGCTTCCTGATTGGGTTTTAGCGCCCGGCGGTCGAGTATTTTTTTTCTGGCCCCCCTTCCCGCCTTCTCTCTTCCTTTTTCTTCCTCATTATCCCTGGTGTCTCTTTCTTCTTGACACTCTTTCCATCTCCTCTCTTTTTTTTTAGCATCCCGTTTCTTTTGCACTATCTTCAAAATGGGTTCCGGTGGTGATGTTAACCAGGCCGAGAAGTCGGTCCTCGGCATGCCCGTGAGTATCTCCCTATGAGTGTGAGAGCCAGCCTCGACGTCGCGTTAAAGATTCAAAGCGATGAGATATTCAGCATCGAATTATCATCGAATTTGTTTCAAAGCGCGATTCCAAGGATCGGTCATCGCTATCTCAATGTGAATTGAACCTAGCAACGCAACAATGCTAACAAACTTTTCACAGGGCTTCGTTGTCGACTTCCTGAGTATGTGTCACACTTGATGCTTGCAATTATCAGCAATTGCTACTTTCGATGACGTATCGAATATCAATACTGACCTGTGTATTAGTGGGTGGTGTTTCCGCCGCTGTCTCCAAGACCGCCGCTGCCCCCATTGAGCGTATTAAGCTCTTGATCCAGAACCAGGTTGGTTATCACCCGTCAGACACCCATTGGAGTGGACCAGAGGGAGAAGATCATGCTTCATCGTGATCGTCAATTCAGTGAGGTTCAATATTGGACGCAAGCTGTGATTTAGCATCGATCACGGCTTGTGAAAAATTTTCTCCCTTGGCCCGTGACAGTCGGCAGCTCAGTATTCCACCAATTCTTCAGCATCTAATCAGACTCGATCAATAGGATGAGATGCTCAAGCAGGGTCGTCTCGACCGCAAGTACAACGGCATTGCTGACTGCTTCCGCCGTACCGCCGCCGCTGAGGGTGTTGTCTCCTTGTGGCGTGGTAACACCGCCAACGTCATCCGTTACTTCCCCACCCAGGCCCTTAACTTCGCTTTCCGCGACACCTACAAGTCCATGTTCGCCTACAAGAAGGACCGTGATGGATACGCCAAGTGGATGATGGGTAACCTTGCCTCCGGTGGTGTATGTATCTCTGAAATTCCTCACGCTTGGACCACATCTAACAGATCCTCTAGGCTGCCGGTGCCACTTCCCTCCTGTTCGTCTACTCCCTGGACTACGCCCGTACCCGTCTGGCCAACGATGCCAAGTCCTCCAAGGGTTCTGGTGAGCGCCAGTTCAACGGTCTCGTTGATGTCTACCGCAAGACCCTCGCCACCGACGGTATTGCCGGTCTCTACCGTGGCTTCGGTCCCTCCGTTCTCGGAATTGTCGTCTACCGTGGTCTCTACTTCGGAATGTACGATTCCATCAAGCCCGTTCTCCTCGTTGGTCCTCTTGAGGGCTCTTTCCTCGCCTCCTTCCTGCTCGGCTGGACCGTCACCACCGGTGCCGGTGTTGCCTCTTACCCTCTTGACACCGTTCGCCGTCGCATGATGATGACCTCTGGTGAGGCCGTCAAGTACTCCAGCTCCATGGATGCTGCCCGCCAGATCGTCGCCAAGGAGGGTGTCAAGTCTCTCTTCAAGGGTGCCGGTGCTAACATCCTCCGTGGTGTTGCCGGTGCTGGTGTCCTGTCCATCTACGACAAGGCCCAGATGCTCCTCCTCGGAAAGAAGTTCTAAGCGATTCACTGAAATGTGAGTCTCTTGCCACTGTAGTTATACTGAAATAGGGGATGCACACCTCCCCCAGTGTAACCACTGGGCGTGGAATTCGAGGATGTGGGATGGTCAAAAGATAGATGCGTCAAGAAATGGGTCCGAAGGATCTTGAAGCATAGAATGGTCTAATTCTTCCTTTTTGTACCCAATGTACTTTACTGCCTGCAAACTCTTTCGTTTTTTCAACTTGATCCTTGTAGACATGGAAACATTGTGAAAGTAAATACTTAAGTTAAGATACATGTATCAACGAGCGGAGGTTGTTAGTGCTCTCGATTCTTTGAGATCTCGACCCTAGAGGGAGATATGTTGTATGCTTTCAACTATGTTCACATGGCAGAAACAACAGCCAGCAAATGGTCAACCATTTAGGCCTTTCAGTTGCCAGTCCTTTCGACATTTCAAACAAACTGCATTGAAGCACATGCAACAGCCGAACAAAAAAAGGAAAAAACGGAGAAAAGGAGAAAAGCGTCCCAAAGCGGCAAGCTCCACAGCGGCAATGGTCATGACGTAGAAGCTCCTTGAAGCTACAAAGCCTCTTCATTCCCCTCGACAGTTTACCTTCCCACAAAATATCAATTCCAAAATGTCTGTCCCAACAGGTATCCCAACCTATACCTCAGCGCCCGTGAACTCCAACACAGAGGAAGAAGGCACGCACGCAACAACCTCGCAGCCCGAACCTGCCACCGCAACCCAGTCACCAGCGAGCGCACCCTCACAACCTCTATCAGCACCCGCAACAACAACAGCAACAGCCACAGCTCCCTCCAACCCTACAATCTACACAACTGTCGAGCCCAACTCAGCACCAGCACCACCCCAGCCAGGCGCCACAGCAGCGCAACCCACCCAAACAGCAGCAACAACAACAGCAACAGCAACAGCAACAACCTCCACCCCGGAGATAGCGACATCCACAACGCAGACCCCACCCGCACCCCAACCCGGCGCCTTCCCATCACCGCCTACAACATACACAGGAGCAGCAACTCAATCCTCTACAATCCCCCCACCACCGAAAGCCGGCGAAGCCATCTCGCAGCCTCCACCAGCCCAACCAACCCAAACCTACACGCAATCCTACTCCTACAACTCGCCCCTGGGTGCGCAGACTACGTTACCGAACTCGACCACCTCACCTTATTCCTCTGTGTATCCGACGCACGCGGGATCACATCGTCCGCAGACTCTGCCGCTGCACTACGGTGCCGGGGCCGGTGCTGGGTCTGGTGGTGGAGCGAACAGTATCTTCCCCGAAGAGGAAGAGGAGGGGTTTATGGGGGCGGCGAAGGGGTGGATACGCTGGTCTGGGAATAAGTTAGCGGAAGTTGAGAAGGGGGTTTGGAAGAAGATTAATGATGTTCATGATTAGGATGTGGGTTTGGGTTGAGTTTATGGGGGACTAGGGAGGTTGGAGTTTGTCTTATTATGGGTTTCTAGTTGAGGATTGCATGCGGTGGGTAGGGATCTTTTTTTGTGTATGAGGATGACGGGAGTATCAAGTTGGGTTATGTATGGGCTTGGGTTTGTACGTTGGAGTTTGGTCTGTACGATATCTTTAATACCAGTGCTTTAGTTGGACTTGCACGTTGAAGATGAGTGGTGGCTCTTGGGTATGAAGTAGTTCTAGCTGCATCAAGGTTTCTGGTTAAGCTCTGACATTTGGACCCAAATGTAAGAGCATTCAGCCCGGACTCTGTGAATTCTTTAGGTGATATACCATGGAGCCTTTTACTTTACAGGTGAAAAGAACACAATAGCAACCGAACTGCGCAGGATTTGCGACAGGTAAGTTTCTAAACTAGCTAAGTGACTATGTACTTCCGTTCCATCCCCGGCTGAAAAACGTTAAGTATCCAGCCTCGAAAACTGAAGCCGAAACCTCCAAGGCAATGCAAGGATGATGAACCTGCAATGTACAACAGACTATGCATAGACCACATAAAGAGAAACACAGACAAATGGAGAGAAAGAGAAAGGAAGAAGACAACTTCTCAGTTGGATCAGTGAAGATGACCGAGATTCCATACCAGTCGGAAGGGCCAGTGCAATCAATGAAGACGACCGGAACCTCACTCCAGATGGCTGAGATCTTCCAAGGATGATTCGGGGAGTTGTGGAATTGAAGATCCATGAAAGGAAAAAGAAATAAAGCAGAGTATTAAAAAAGCCTGAAGTATGAAGAAAGAAACACGAGGAGTCTTGTAGCAGTGGTAGTTGACTCGACTGATGCAAAGATAAACGCCAGAATGAGTAGGTGACAGACAACAGTACTGGAGTCGACCCATGTGAAAAAAAAAAAGGAGAGCGGAGAAGAGAAGGGGTATTTGGAGTTGTCATAGTGGTAGCAGCGACGGGACTGCTACCCTAAATCGTCATGACAAGTTGTTTCGTAGCAGGCATAAGAGCGAAGTGAAGACTTGAACGCCATCTTGGAAACCCAATACCACAAAGATCCAACCCAACGCCCATCATTCAAGGTAGTTGCGCTGCAAGCTAGCCAAATTTCCTGGCTTTGGACATTGTGTTTTTTTGGATGAATTGCCGAAAAGCCATGGCACGCCAAAAGCGGTCCAGACCAGCTTCGACGGCCTTGAATGTGAATAAAAAAAAGTGTATCCCGCAAATAATGGAAAGAAATAAACGCCGATCATGATGAGGGTGGGGCTTTACATGGAACCCAGGCGGAGGAGCGCCTCCACAGCGGCGCGTTCCTGGGTGTCAAAGGTGCGGGGTGGCAACTTAGCCACAGATGGACAGGTGGCGGGGAAAATCCCAGAAGGCTGAGGCTTTGCGCGCGCAGCGACATGGCCGTTGATGAAACTGCCGTTGTTGTTCATAGAACGGGCGCGCAAAGCGTCGGCGCCGATTTGTGCCCAGTCCTCCTCGTCGGTGTCATCGCCCTCAACCCACTCGTTCTCTTGCATCTCGTCGGGAGCCTCCGAGGAAGAGCAGTACTCGCCGTCGTCGCCGTCGAGAGACATTTTGTCGGCCTCGTGTTCTAGCATGTCGAGGTCACCGTGCATGCCGTAATCGTCGGTGTATGAGAAGGCCGTGGATTCGGCAAAGCTCATGCGGTACGGGTGACGGTTGCCACCCTGCCAACCCGACTGACCCTGAATCTGTAGGCCACGCTGCTGGAATGAACCTGCAACACTCGAGGGAGGCGACGACGAAGCGTTCAAATCACGATCGCGAGTGGGTTCACCACGACGTCGCGCATCCCAGCGGCCCCAACCAATCTTCTCGAACACAACGTCGCCTTGGACACCGCCCGCATCTCCTCCATTTCCTCGACCTTCTAAGGCCGCGACAACTAGTCTGCGCGCCTTGGCTGGGGGAATATGCGAAAAGCCAGGGACCGAAGTTGTCAGATGACCCATAACGTGGCGGATAGCCAAGGGACCCTGCTCGAGCAAGATCTCAGGGAGATGATATTTAGAGAGCATGGCAGGGGTGATCGCGCCGGTACTGTCGAGGTCATCGACAGGCAGGGAGACGTGATGACCGTTGGCGTTTTGCGCGTCCTCGAGATCGATATCGGAGTCCAACTGGGGGACAGTCGACAACGGTGATCCCGGCGACAGTGTCGCTCGATGCTTCAAAGTCTGAGGAGGGAGGGTCGGGGAAATGGAGTTGGGTGGCGTGGGCAGCATCGCAGGCAGTCCGGATCGCGTAGACACACGATTGCCATTCAGGCCGGAGCGGCGCTGAGGGATATCAACCGAGGCAGTCTTGCCAGCAAGAGCCATCGCAATGCTGGAGTTTGTCTGGAAAGCCATGATGGATAGAATATGGATTTGTGAAAGGAGAAGAACCTAGAGGGCGCAAGCCGGGGTATATGAGTCAGAAGACCTGGAACGCGACAAAGGAAGTACCACGGAAAGATCAGGTGGCAACAGAATAGTTTCAGGACGAAAGAGTCCAAAGAGGCAAAACACAGGAACTAACCTTTCACACACAGTGACAAAGAGACACTGTAGCCGTGTAGCAAAGTTGGGGCCAACTTGTTTAGGGCTTGTAATCCACGTAGGGGATGCGACGCGGCAAGGGGAGATAGATAGTGGCGATAAGAGCAGAATCCAAGAAGGGTGATTGTCCACGAGTGTCCGAGTGTCTAGTATGGGTGAACAGACGAAGAGAAGAAGATAAGTGTGCCCTGGAAGTGACTTGCACCTTTGTACTTTACCAGGAAGGCCCAAGTATGGGAATAAGGAAGGCGCGTGGGTGGATTGATTGGCGCCTCGACACCGGGTGCTTCCGGCTCTCGTTCTCTTCACTATTATCACTATTACTATACTATTATAACTATTTACTATTAAACTACGACATTATTACTCTCTATTCTATGTATTCTATGTATTCTATGTTATTCTCTTTATCAATGTTAGCATGGATACATGAATACATGAATACATGAATACATGTCCCTCTTACTATATGTTCACACTAAAATATTCATATCCTTGAGCCGATCTAAGAAAATCTAGTTCCTAGTTCCCTGTCCTCTTCACAAGATATCTGGGTAATAGAGAAATAAAACCCCTCATGCCAAGTTGTTATCGGCCAGTCATGGCGATCCCCAGTGCTCGTGCGCTTTTAATGAACGCTTGCAGCGCTCCAGGGCGTAACCCTAGTTTCCCCTATCATCGGCTGATAACCATCATTCAGGGCACGTGGACCACTCGAAGACGATCGAATTTTTGTATCCGTGGACACTTATAGTAAGTGTAGATGTCATTCTTATTATAACTTCTGTTTCCGACGAATTGCCCCTCTACTGTGTAACTTCAAGTATGAAGTACATACAACGTAAAAGTATTAGGGTAAGTATGTGTGTACTAGGTACATCCACTTCCTCGGGTCCCACTATAATCTGGGCTCTGGCCCCTTGGCGTCACTTGTACCTGTGACAATCGGACTTTCTATTATTCTACTATATACGGACGTAGTATAGTACATGTTTATGCAAATGAGCATGCATAATTGGAAAAAAAAAAAAGAAAAAACATCAAACATCAAACATCAAACTGCTGTTCGCATTCTCCTTCTTGGAATGCAATCCTGCATAGTTGACACCTGCCTGAGGAGTCCAAGCCCCTGTTGGCCCCGTACGAATACATCCGAGGAATGCATCTAGTGCGAGGTCCATGTACGACATACAAGCCAGTTGTACACTTACTAACTTATGCGTTATTAGGGTCTGTGTGTTAAAAATTGTGGGCTTCCTCAATTCGGCCATCAATTCGGCCATCGATTCCCCTCCCCCTCCTATTGTGCGGGAAGTAGATGCGGATGACCATCTAGCCCTGCATGTACCTTCTATCCCCTTCTACCATTCTATAGAACTGTAACCCCTCAAATGGCGCTGCAGCCGAGGACTTTACTTGCGCTCTTCTTGGTCACCGAGTTATCTGTACCTTGATCGGTTCCTGGTGCCGCTTACCCATTTACCCCGCGATGCTCAAGATCAACTTAATTCTGACACATTTGGGTCATGCTTCCCTTCCAATGTTAGAATTGTTTGCTTACAGGTAGTCAGACAATATTTAGTCAATAATCTGACTCAGATTAACAGATAAGAGAACGGAAAGGACTATCATTTGACTCTGTGCTGTGTATGTACATCGTACATTTTATAACTTCCTGTCTCGGATTCCGATGGGCTGAGCTCTCCGCACGTCTCTTTAATTCTTTCTTCCCAATGCCTTTCTGTCCAACCAAAGCTTTAAATCAAAAGGCCCGTCACTCAGATCGCGCATGTTCCCCACGAAGAGAAACGCGTACCCCTCTGCGTGTGTTGGAGATTGGCCATCCACATACCGAATTGAGCAAGGAACAGTTGTATAGCTAGGCCCCTCATAGGCCGCTAGTTTCTCCGCGTGTTCATTTGTCGGTACCTGGTACACAGCCCCTATGACAGTATCCCCGGGATTGCCAGAGAGTAAGGCCGGGTAGTGTCCCCAAAGCTTGCATTTGTAGCCGTCGATGTATGCGGGTCGCAGGTGAAAAGCGTGTTTTAGGTCTAACAGATCTATAAGTAGATTTTGGTCTTGAAGTGAGCCGTAGAAGAAGTATGGGCCTGTTGGAGCAGGGCCTTGGTTTTGAGGTCGGGTGACTTGGGATTGAAAGAAGTGGCTGGGAGATGTACTTCGCATCTTTAGGACTGTGGGTGATATTTTTGAACGAGGGTTCTCTGGAGGAGGTGGAGGCGGAGGTGGTAGATTGTCCCTTGATCGCGTTGAGTCGGCCATAACTGTTTTTGAAGAATCGGAAATGTTGAGTGAGAGGTTGTTATACACACTGTGGACTTATCCCGGTGCGGGGGATTGCAGTGATTGCAATATGTACCACATATCGTCTTGCTATGATTTTACGCACAAGCATTATTTCCTATTAAACCACAATATTAAAGAAGGTGAGGTCAAACTCTCATAATCGGATAAATGGGGCATCTTCACCTATTCTATCAAGGCCATTTTGCCGACACGGGGTTTCAAGTGCCTAAATAATTAGCCAAAAAACAAATTGATAAATACATATGTAGGTACATTGATTTCTAGTAGTTTAGACACTCTTTTGAGTTCACATATTTGACCGTAATGGTCTGGGGGTTTGCATTTTGTTTGGCGATCACTACAAACGCAGTGAGCCCCAAGTCTTTGAACTCGGATATTTCCATTCTCATCCACAATGACCTGCTAGGTATGCATATCCCCCAAGGAATCTGGAATCGAAGACTAACTGTTGAAACAGAAACCGAAAGTCCTTTATCAGGTTCAGGAATTCTGGTGCTCGATGCGAGACCACGGCAACAAGCCATTGAAAGCTGTCAAAATATTGGAGAGACTCTGTGGGGGGCTGATTCCAGTTACAGAAATATTCGAAATAACTTGGACTACCTTGTATTCCAAGGCAAATACACTCGCAACCAACGTTTTTGGACTGCCTCCGACCATCGCAAACTGTCGACCATCGACACAAATGGTCGGGTCAATAAAGGCTCTGCAAACGAAAAACTGCCTGTTCTTTGTACACAAAGTGCTCCTTTATCCAACAGTACATATCAGGATACAAGTGCTCAGTGGCAGGTGACTGTCCATTCCAACAACGAATATCTCACTGGGTAGGAACTAGTATTTCCCAGAGTATCGCAATCTATCCTAACAAAACATAGATTCCGGGACCGATTCAGTTTCCGCTTTCTGGGAATTCGCTATGCTAAGCAGCCCCGACGATGGGATTACTCCCAAGTATACAAAGGGACCGGTGAAAAAGCTTCTGCTCTCGACTATGGCTCTGACTGCATACAAGGCGCAACTGGTTCAGAAGACTGCTTGTTCCTCAATATTTGGACTCCCTACATTCCCAAGAGCAACAAAATCCAAAAGAGCCATCTCAAACCTGTGGTGCTTTGGATCCACGGCGGAGCTTTCACTGGCGGTACTGGCAGTGACCCGACATTCGACGGCGGCAATCTGGCCTCGAGGGGTGATCTTGTCGTCGTCACAATAAACTACCGTCTGGGAACATTGGGGTTCCTCGCACTGAATGATGGCAAAACCAACGGGAACTACGGATTGGCAGACCAGACCACGGCGCTGGAGTGGGTTCGTCGAAATATCCAGGACTTTGGCGGAGATCCAGACAGAGTAACCATCTTCGGCCAATCGGCTGGTGCAGCCTCAGTGCGGGCACTACTTGCTTCTACTACCGCACGAGGTAAATTTGCTGGTGCAATCATGCAGAGCAATCTTGGTGGCTTGGCTTATGGCACAACCTACTCGAAGTACTACACCATCGCGCAGGCGATGGACGTTGTGGGAAATGCTATTCTCAACGAGACAAACTGCACATATGCTACTTCACCAGTCGAGTGTTTGAGACAACTCCCAGTGTCGACAATTGCAAATCTCGCTGACTCGGCGCGGTATCTGGTTGTCGATGGCGTCTACCTGCGAAGCCCCGAGCTGGATTTAATAAACCCAGAATCCACTGCCAATGTGCCTTTGATGATCGGTACGATGAGAGACGATGGAGCTGCCATGATTGGCTATCCTGCAGTGGGAGAAACTCTGAGATCATTCCTCAATGAATCCGCCCTGCCTGACTCAGTTGCACCAAGCCAACTCTTCCCCGTACCATCAGCCGCTAATGCTACCCTCGATATCTTCAACGTCTCCTCTCGCATAGCCACAGATGGAATGTTCCGCTGCATCGACGAAGCGACTGCACATACAGCCTCAAGGACACATATATCCCCTGATGTATACTACTACGAGTTTAACCGTTCATACCAAATGCCCGGCTGGTCACCCAATGCCCCAGTGTGCAACGCTCCCATCACAGATGAGTTCCCCAATGGTGACCCCAGCCAGGAGTACTTTAAATGTCATTCTGGCGAGCTGTTCTACGTGTTTGGAAGTTTCCGTCGTCAGGGTTTGCCGTTCCGGGATCAGTTCGATCTACCTTTTGGGCAGTATGTGCTGGATTCTTGGGCGAGTTTTGCGAGAGTGGCTAGGCCTACGCCTGACTTGGCCTTTTTGAGGGCAAGAGGATATGATAATACAACTCGGGAGATTGAAGCGACTGGGTTGTGGGAGCCGTTTGGTAAAGAAAATCAGCTTCGGCTGCTTCAGTGGCCGTCCGGGATGAGGGGTTTGGATGAACTGGAACAATGCCGTGCGCTGAAATTGTCTTTGGATTACTTCGACTCTTAGTTCAGACAAATTATATTAGTTCTTTTGAGTACAGACAAGGGGCTCTATATCCCCTAGCTCCATTGATATGGTGTGACCAACATGATAGATGGATTCGATATTGACAGCGTGCGTACCTGGATCTATTCTACACATAAAACTCAAAAATGTCTTATGCATGCCCTTTTCAGGGACGACATGAAGACTTTTTTGCCCCCTGTTTAGGATTATTTTCATTAGCAGTCTCGTTTCAAGGGTCCCTTAGAATTCCTTTCCACAGTCCTCTTACTTCAAACTACAGTCTCTTTGTAGTGTCTTTGATGGTGCTCGGACTTGAAGTTTCCAGATACAAAGCCTTCGTATAGTCTCTTTAGTTGTTAGCCAGCTCTTTGTGTTAAATGTCTTGCGTAGGATCTTGAATAGCTGCTTACTATAGAATAAAAACCACGAAGATCTGTCTCGATGTAAAGATTAAGACCATTTGATCTCATCTCGATGTACTCACAACATACATATCTTACAGAGCTCCCATTCCTTTCATTGAGATGCCTGGAGGGTGATCCAAACAGAAGGCTCATAAACCGGGTAAGTATACTGCAAGGGAGTATCTGGCTAATATAAGCCCGCAGTACTTGGGGTGCCTCTGGGACAAAGGTGATTGGCACCAGGCCCACGGCGACAGCAGGGCAACCGTCTGCGGCACCTATACCATGGTGAGCATGAAGACGACTACTGAGCCACCAGAGTACCAGCTTCAGCTTATGTGCCAAAAGATTCCTATGCTAAACTTCACCATGCCGGGCAGCCCAAACAAGAACGGCTCGATCGATCCTCCTACCTCCCAGGAGGTTATCGATACCATTGCAATCAAACTCTCCAAGATCGGCAAGTAGGACAACCACACGCACACGCTTGACTATAGAGATTTTTCTCCAGACTCACCAGTCCGTTTCTGCAACCACTCTCGGGGTTCGCCTTCAACCACTAAAGCCTTGGGTTATTACCTCTATCACTAGACAAAATATCATTTTATGGCTTTAAAGTCCAAGTTAATTGTAGACATAGAGTGTCTGTTTCTTCTTTAACGAAACAGATAATGTCAGCATAGAACAGTCGACCGAAGTAGTAGATACTGTTGACTAGATGTTTAGAGTATGGATTTCATAGTCGAGTTTGGAAGATTGGATTCTTTGATGTACAGAGCTGATGCTGCTATATTTCCAAGGGGATCAACGCCTTCTGGGTTCCTTTGGCTTCTTGCCCTTCGGTGTCTCGGTGCTGTCGCCCCCAGAATATATCATTTAGTTACAAAGCTCAACGCCTGGATGAAGACACCTATATTAGAAATACTCACTCACAACACCTGAGTTCAAAGTTTCCTTGTTATTCCGTAGCCATGTTCGGGAAGACGTCAGATGTCGGACAGTTGTCATGGCATTCCGCATGAAAGAAACTTTTCTTCTTTTTTTCTCTCTTCTTGTGCTTTGCTCCTGTAGTTTTGTCCACTGGGTTCTCTGTATTGTTGAATATTTGTACTGTCTGTTTGCCCCTTTCCAGTTGTCAGTGCTTTTCACTTCTGTTCTACTTTCAGACCTAGCTCCTGCTTTGTAGGGCTTTACCTTTTTTTTCTCTTACGGTGGAAGAAGACGCTAAGATGGTAGACGAAGTGACTGAGTAAGTGATCACTGGTTTTTACCACTCGCAAATTTATTCTGACGGTTTCAGATGCCCATATGTGGTCGGCAATAAGATCACGCTGCAGCTGGAGGGTCGCCCTGTTCAAGCCACAGTTGTCAAAACCTTCGAACCCTGGACTCAATCATGTGCCATGTCCTTTCGTTTGATTCGAACCTTTCTTCTCTAGGCATCAAAGGGAATGTCGTTCTGAAGATCTATGATCGACGGTTTTCAACGGGACTACGAAGTGCCCGGAAAATTGCCGGTCCCTGGACACCAGAAATTGAGAGAGATCTTTGTGGATTCCTTTGCTCAGCTGAAGGAATGGGGTTTGCATTTGAAGATGAAAAGGCTTGTATAAAAGAAAGAGAAGAAGTAAACTGTTTTATGCCAACGATCGTTGAGGATACCGGCGAGGAACAGGAGCAACAGAACAGCTGTGAGCAGGAAGGCACCAATGAAATTACAATGTCAGCTCCAAAGGCACCTTGGTAAAACCTCTCCATACTCTCTACCAAGCTTCTCTCCCCTCTCTTTTATACATACAAGGTGGCTTCCCGCGGTCTATTCTGCGCCATCCACCTTCGCACTGAAGTCACCGCGTTCCTTCCCTGGGATCGTCATAAGCTCATTGACATTGAAACCCAAAATATCAATAGAAATGGTCAAGTCAGCGGGAACGATTGCACCAAAAACCATGGGACAACTGGAGAACAACTGGCCAACAATCTCGATGCGGCGGTCGACGATACAGGGGAATCTGAAGATGAAAAAGGGGAGTGGGATCACAGATATGAGGAGGTAGATGCCCACGTCCACAGGCAGTTCCTTTACGAATCAGAGATCGAAGCATATGAGACGATGAAGGACCTGCAAGGCATTTACATCCCCCGAATGTTTGCACATACGAAAATTCTGGGACCAAAATGCACCCAAGGTCAGCGCTTTAGCGGGTATTTCGAACACCCTGGGATTCTTGGAACACATCGAGGGATTCCCTCTGCCTGAGGTCCCTAAAAGTGCCCTAAAGAAAGCATGGCAGCCCATCGTTGATAAGGCTATCGAGATTGTCAACGAAATCATGCGCCATGGTGTCCTCGATGACGATACGAAGGTAAGAAGCTTCATCGTGCAACCTGATCCAGCCAACAGTTCAGATTCCGAATACAAGTTCAAATTGACTATGATCGACTCTGGTCATACCAGATTTCGGAGACAATACCTGCCCGCTGGAGGACTGGCGATGGTGGGAAGCACACAATGATGCAGAGGCGCTATCGGACTAATAATGGATTGGAGATTGGGAGAGGTATGTAAGAGTCTACGTATATGAAAGGACCCCATACGGCAAAGCGCTTCAATATGATTACATGAGGGCAGAGTGTTTCGGGGGGAGACCTACCCCACGCACGAAATGATCTGCTAGGAGAAAGGATATGTGTGCATTGGTCAATGGATGATGCCATGGGCCGAGAAGACCTGCATGCTTCCTTTCTCTCTCTCCAGCATTGTCGTCTCTCTTCTTAGCTAGGAACTATCAGTGATTCTTTGCAACCTCCATCAAACTCCATCAAACGAAGCTTTTGCATTGTATATTATTTAGGAAGAGAATCAGTATACCACACAAAATTGTTGAAGCATAAGTATTATATTATTCATGAAGGGACATTTATTTCGTACGACAATAGGATTATATCAAATCCATCGAGGCAATAAGGACTTCTCCGAAGCTACCGCAACAATAATATTATATTACTATACAGATCTCTAAACGGATGACTGTCGGGGCTAATATATGTGGGTATGTCTGTCCACTTCCGATGCTATTCCGAAGTACAACATACGACTTCGATTACTATGTAGCCCATATACTTTTTTGGATTCAGCAGGTTCTCACATGTATCAATATTTCTAGTCTTGGTGTAAATCTATTACCGTATCTATTGGTCCATACAAAAGGGTAGAAAGAAAAACTTCGGTCTATATGGTCCTCGCTAAGATCGGATGCGTCCCTTCCGATGTTTCCCCTCATGATGAAATAGACGTATTCTACGAGAACTCCGGATCTTCTCATTCTTTTCAACTTGCAAATATCTCTCACTCACAAAACCAGAATGTCTTACCAAATCGCCTATGACAAAACCCGTGCCCCAGCCCGAGGCGCCGCGCTCGTCGCATTTATGGAAGATTTCTACCGCACCAGTGACACCGAGTCCCTGCACGAGAAATACGTCCAGAGCTTTACCGAAGATGCGACGCTGATCATGGGACCCAAGGAGGCCAAGGGCACAAGAGGTATGGTGCTACCCAATTCCTGCTTAACATTGGTGAAGCTATATAGCCGATTCCGGTCCCGATTTCCTTCTTGATGCAAAATATACATACATCTATATCGGGCTGTTCACCAACTAACAAAACCAATCCCATAACAGCAATTCTCACCCTCCGCCATGGTCTTTGGACACACGTTGCTTCACGCCGACACACGCCGACGCAGATCTACTTCGGCGGCGATGATGAGATCATGTTGTACGGTGGAGTGAACTATAAACTCAAGGCTAACCCCGATAATGACGTTTATGTATCTTGGGCTGGACGGGTTGTGTTTGCGCCCCAGAAGGGGGGGGAGGATATCAAGATGCAGTTTTATCAGGTCTACTTGGTGAGTACACTCTTGCGCCGCTAGCTGTAAGATGATGTTCGTGGTGCTGATTGTCTTGTAGGATACCGCGGCTCAGTCCGGAAAGAAATGAAGTACATATGTAGATTGGAATGCGAGCCAACTTAGACTTGTTTTGTACATACATAAAAACGAGAGTTGCTTAAACTCAATAGCAATGATTGGATATAAATTGGGCTTTTGGAGAACGTTGATCTATTGTGTAAGGCTGAAGATCTGCCGGCAAATAGTACCAGACATCTACATCTACATCTACAACAGAGAGAGAGGACGGAACAGTTTTGAAGTGTTTAGACAAGCTCTTTATTTCCAGGAGACCACGAGAGAAAAAAGGGACAAAGACGCCGTAGGGTTGATCGGGGTCAAAGAGGTGAGGGGGATCATAAAAAAAAACATGTCAGGGAAAAAAGATCCCCTCCCCTCAACAAGAGAGAGAGAGGGGAAGGGTTGTGTGGAACGTCTCGTCCGCTCTCTTCTCTCGTTCAAGTCTCCGGATAATGATGCCTCATCCTCATGCACTCTGCACCGCCCATATCTCTCTCCGCTAGTAGCCCCGTCTGGTCGTCAGAAAAAAATATGGATTGGAACAAGAAAAAAGAAACAAACGTAAAGTCGCGCACGGGACCGCAAGCTCCGAATTTTTATTTTTGTGCCGTCATTTCCAATATCTTGCCGCCGTAGCGAAGACAAAACCACAAAAACAAACGACTTATCCCCGAACTATTAAAAGCCCATTGCGATACGTTTATTCCTCGTCAGACTCCTCCTCCTCATCGACGGTGGTCTTGGCGATACGGTCCAAATCACGCTGGCCGCTCTGGGTGATGCGGCGGCCACCCTTCTCCTCATCGGTCTCGAGGACACCGATCTTCTCAAGAGCCTGGAGGGCCTTGCGGTCGACGGAGCCGGAGGCATCGACGTGGTGGGCGGGGCGGGAGCCACGGTTCTTGGTGGAACCGTGGACCTTGCGAAGACGGCCGACACCGACGGTCTTGCGCATGTAGATGTGACGGGCACAGGCGGCGGCGCGGACGTAGAACCTTGAAAAGCAAGAATGTCAATTGTTTGTTCGAATTTTCCTGGATTGTTATTTGATGCGGTCGTACCAGTCGGCATCCTGGGGAGGAAGCTCGTTGGAAGCAGAGGTCTTGACAGTGTCAACCCATCCGGGGATGGGGAGCTTTCCCTGACGCTTCAGGAAAGCAGAGTAGGCAGAGATGAACTTCTGCGCCTGTGTGGAGGAGAAAAGTTATGTTAGTTGTAGCTCATCAAGATATGCGTGGTTCGGTCAAAAGTCTCTGGATTTGGAGATGCGTCGGATTCGTTTCTGGAAGCATTTCATCGGTCGTCGTGTGCAATTCTTTGCTAGCATGCAGTCGTCGCGTCGAGTTTCTATAGGGAATACCGACAGATAAACGGAACCTATCAAGAATTCGTCCTCGAAACACGCATACACATCCTTCAATATTCGACATATTCCCCATAGGCAATGAAGCCATTCGCCTATTGCGTGCGCAATCCGAAGCATTTCCATCTTGGCGATATGATCCGACCGATGTTGTGGTTTTCGTGCATCCAGAAACGAACCGTCCACATCACGCAAACCAGAGCTGACCGACCACCTAAAAATCGAGCAGGACACTTACGTCCACATCGCGAACGGTAACACCACCCATTTTGGCGACTTGTCGAGGGGTCGAAGGGTAGGGATTAGAGAGAGAGAGGCGTTGGGCGTCGAGGTGGGCAGGGTCGAAGTCGAAGAGTCGCTCAAAATTTCAAGACACACAACTCTGGGCGGGTTGGGTCTGTGTGCTGTTCGCTTGTCCATTTTGGGTTAGCCGTACCCTAAGCTGGGTCATGTGATGTGGCCCAATTTGTGCCTGATGGCTAAGGCTCCACATCACACTCCTTGGTGCCTGATGTTCCAGGCTTGAAATATTTTACAATCTGCGATGAAAGATCATTTGGAGATTTGAAGAGTTCATTTTCTTATGCTCTAATTATACAAATTAAAATCTATTCATGGCAGTTGGTCATTATTCGTAACTTTGAAACAATTAAAAAATGCACCCCGTTTCCTAACGCCAGAATCCTTCCCAATTACAGTGTCGGCGCTCTCTTCAGCCCGACGCAATACCTCACAAATAGAGTGTCAATGAAATGTCCATGTCGGATACCTGGAGGTCGGCACCGGTTGAACTCATCAATGGCATCTTGCACGCCAAACCCAAGATGCTCGATCAAATAGCAAGCGATCATGAACCCGGTACGGTTGTAGCCATAGTGGCAGTGAACTCCGACCACTGGGCGTGGCAGAAGCTTCCCTTCCTCGGTACGCTGCTCCATCTTCTCATCAATATCCTTTTGAATGCTATTGACCAGAGCGATAAAGTCGCGCGTCTCATCTGGAGTCGGAGGGATCTTGGATATAGTAGGGTGCTTGTAGTAGCGAACCCCGCCCTTCTCCAGTTCAGCCGGATTATAGACCGGGCTTTCATGACTGATGTCTATGACAGCATGGATGCGACCACGATACTTTTCCGAGAAAGTCGCAGGGTTGTGTTCCTCGTCAACCTCGCGCAACATCTTGAGCGCGACAAAGGTGTTGGCAATTCGTTCCGAGACTGGGGCAACCTTCTTCCATTTGGCGAGGTTCTTGACATCCCACTTTCCAGATGTGTTCATGTGCTGCAATTGCCAGCCCAGACCGAGACGCTTATCGACATTTGACGAGAGGAAATCCTGGATAATCCCTGCAAGAGTGCGATAGGTCGCCCGGTCGTAGAGCAGTGCATGAGATGCAGGCGCCGGCAAAATTGCCGATTTGACCACTCGCTTCCGCTGGCCAACCTCCAAATGCTTCTCGGAGACCTCCACACCAAACGCCTTCTCGTTGACGAGATCGACTGGGGGTGACATCTGGTCGTGGACTCGCGAAGCATCCGGGATGATGCTGCTATCGCTGGTGTCAATCGAGGTATGGGCTGAAGCATCACCAAAGAATTTCAAAAGCTTCTGCACCTCCACCGGTTTGGTCACAGCATCCGTCTCTCCCGCGACCAACAGAACTGGCATGCGAATTCCCGCCCAGACCTGTTGCCCAGGGAGTCCACCAATCGGGTGGCCGTCATTATCGTACGTGGGAAGTGTGCCCCACGCCATGCGCCGCCAAACAGGTGTCCGACTTTGCTTGTTGAAGCGCACCTGGAGATTTCGCGTTTCCATGTCGGCAGCGACGCCGACCATCCGCATAACACTAGCACTTTGTTCGCCTCCACGTCTGTCCCAGCGACGCCAAAGATCGAAAATTAGATCAGGAACATAGAGCGCTCGGCGAAATTTGGTAGTGTCTTCCGCAGATGGGGGTTCGGCTCGAGGGCACACAGCAACAAGGCCGAGGATGTGCTCTTTCACCTTTGCACCAATAGATGACGTCGATGAAGCCAAGAGCGCGGACAAGGAACATCCGAGACTGTGTCCCACTAGAATGACTTCCTGACCAGACTCCCGGTCCCGGTGCTGATCAATGGCTTCAGCCAATAGTTCGGACAGAGCCTCCACAGTGTATGCATTCCAATCCGTAGGCGCAAACTTGGACAGTCCGCACCCGGGCAAATCAATACCAAAGCATGAAGCGACATTAGACAGACTGGTCAGGAGGTGGTGGAATTGTGCGAGTGACCCGCCTAGCCCATGAACAACCACGACCAGTGGAACAGGAGTCGGTTCGGTCGGGAGTCGAGCTAGGTGTGGATGTGGGCTGTAAAAGGTGCGAACGGCGGCATAGGTAGCGAATGAGGTAGTGTAGGAGTTGTATGTGGTGAATTTCCTGAGAATGCCCGGGTCTGTTTCGTATGCTGCGCGAGTGTTAATGAAGGCCCTCAAGTGGAATATGACTATTCACCTACCATCAGAGCTTTGCTGCTGAGTGTCCGACGGCCACTCTTCCTTCTTGTAGTTGGGATTAGTTCCATGTCGCAACGATGCGTTGCTATCATAGTCTTCATCTTCATAATCCTCCTCCGAGGAACTCAGAGTCCTTGATGATTTGGTCGACCTCTTGCGAGCGACGGGACGTCGCGCACGAGAGGCTTTTGACCCTGACCGTCTGCGCTTCACCACCGATGACAACAATCCACATCCAGTCATGGCGATCACGCAGGTAGTTAAGAACACAACCTGACCCCAATTTACATTGTCATTGCGGTAGAGGCCGCAGAAAGAGCTAGCGACGGAGGCGAAAGAAGCGTCTTGGAGGGCCGCGCGCACCGAGTGAAAGAATCGCAGGACAGCCGCGACACTCGAGGGTTTGGATTGAGACGTCAACGAGTCGTAGAGGGCGGAGATAGCGTCGGACCCCATGATTAAATACCGGAGGGGCGTTCTGGGCGCATTCAGAGCCCCCCGATAGTGGTTTCGCCAAAAACCACGCGATGGCGCTCCTGATGCTCTTTGGATCCAGCGAAAATAGCCTGAAGACCAATAAGGAAAGCTAGATCAACAACGTTGAAATGAGTTAGGAGGATAAGAAAAAGTACAAAGGGTTCAGCTTCGGCCACTCACAGCCTCGGGAGAAGCCGCGTGGGGGTGACTCATCGTCATCCATTGGCCCACTGAGCGTTCTTGCCAGTTTGGGAAGGAACTTGCTTGACTATGGCATTTACTATGGGAGAAGAAGTACCTTTTGAATATTTCGAGATACCTTTGTACATTGTTAGGCATATCTTCCAAGGTTTAGCATAATTCCGTCTTCTTTTTTCGGTGTATACGGAGCACCCCTTACTCTCTTCTTACCCCCTATGATGTCCTATGTATAGTATGGTTCACATGACCGGTATTGCACTCCATTTCATAGGACCCCTGGGGCCAGCATGCATGGCTTCGTACTTACTACTGGTCAATTTCAAGCGGGACCACGAAGATCATATCGAAATCGAATGTCTATCCCTTTTTCTAGAACACACGTGGATGGAGATCATAACATCATTTCAACTGCCTCGAAATATGCTATATACATTTACACTCAGGAGGCATATCATAATGATTCATTAAAACAGATCCGTCATGGCTCCCTGCGATGCGTCACTGACCAATCGTGCGTACTTGGCCAACACACCACGAGTGATTTGCGGTGAAGGGGGGGTCCACCGACTCCGTCTCTCCTGAAGCTCCTCATCTGACACATCCATCGAAAGGGAATTGGTCTCAGCGTCGATGGTGACGACATCCCCATCGCGGACTAGTGCAATCGGGCCACCCACGGCGGCTTCTGGCACAATGTGACCAACAATGAAACCGTGGCTAGCACCCGAATAGCGTCCGTCAGTAATAAGTGCCACGTTGGTCAATTTGGCTCCCATCAGCGCGGCACTGGCCTTTAGCTGTTCCGGCATTCCGGGCCCGCCCTTGGGGCCCTCGTAACGGACGATGATGACAAGGTTCTCGCCGCGCGGGATACGGCCTTCGTTCAAGGCGTCGTTGAGCTGGTGTTCCTTATCGAAGACACGGGCCTTGCCAACGAACCGGAGCCCTTCCTTGCCGGTAATCTTGGCGACGGCACCGCCTGGTGCAAGGTTGCCACGTAAGATCTGCAGGTGGCCGCTCGCCTTGATTGGGTTGTCCAATGGGCGAATCAGATCCTGGCCCTCAGTCAGGGAGGGGAACGAGGCAACGTTCTCGGCCAATGTCTTGCCAGTCACTGTGGGGATATCTCCATCGAGCAGACCGGCTGCGATAAGCAGCTTCTGGACAGATGGGACACCTCCGATCTCATACAGATCGGCCATATAGTACCTGCCACTAGGCGAAAGGTTGGCAATGAAGGGGATCTTGTTGCTGACCCTCTGGATGTCATCCAGCGTCAGGTCAACACCAGCCGTCCGAGCCATGGCCAGGAAGTGGAGAACACCATTAGTGCTACCGCCCAGTGCCATAGTCATGACGAGAGCATTTTCAAACGACCGCTTGGTCAGTAGGTCCCGTGGCCGAATGTTCTTCTCCAGGCAAACCTTGATAGAATCCGCAGCACGAACACACTCCCGCATCTTGGATGGCGACTCAGCAGGCGTGGACGATGAGCCGGGTAGTGACAGACCCATTGACTCAATAGCAGTGGCCATGGTATTCGCTGTGAACATACCACCGCACGCACCGGCGCCAGGGCAAGCATGCTGTTCCAAGTCATCCATAATCTCATCCTGAGACTTGGTCTGGTCGCCACCGTCGTCCGGCTGGCGCAGGGTGCCGTAGGCGTACGCACCCGCAGCCTCAAAGCATGTTGAGACATTGATGGGTTTCCGCAGGTGCTCGGAGTAGCCAATTCCAATTGTTCCACCGTAGATCATAATTGAGGGCCGGTTATGGCGAGCCATGCCCATTACGACACCGGGCATGTTCTTGTCGCAGCCCGGGATAGCAATGCAGGCATCGTGGTATTGGGCACACGTTACGGTCTCAACGCTATCGGCAATGACCTCTCGGGTCTGAAGAGAGAATCTCATTCCTAGCGGGGGTTAGCTATCTCATTTGCTGGCGGTGAGACTGTCAAACCAACCTTCACTGCCCATAGTAATTGCATCCGAAACACCGATCGTGTTGTACTGCCACCCAAGCATTCCCTGTCCCAGAACTGACTTCTTGACGGTCTTGGCCAAGTCCATCAAGTGCATGTTGCATGGGTTCCCTTCCCACCATACTGAGGCAATACCGATATGTGGGCTCTTGGCCATCGCTTCCGTATCTGGGACGCCGGCGGCATATAGCATAGCCTATAGTGGTCAGTAATGGACCTCATAATGCTCTTATTGTCAACCTACCCGTGCGCCGGGGAAATCATGGCCTTTGGTGATAGTGTGGGAGTGACGATTCAGTGCGGGGGAGCCATCCGGGTGCTTCGCATCTGTGGGCAAAGAAGGAAAGTTGATGTATTTGGCCTCACTGAGAGTGCTAGGCACGGTTGGCTTTGAGGGATCCATGATGATGTCTGATAATGAAAAAAACAAAAGTAGATTGTAGAGGCAATTGACCAAAATTATAGTCCACACAACCTCGGGAGCTCGATTTCGCACCGATGTCCGATCCCAAGAACCCCACGTTCATTGTCCAGTCAGATGCGGCCGATTTATGAGCAAATCGGAGTTGGGCCTAGTCTCCGATCTACGTACGGAGTAAAAGTTGTATACATGTGGCATTATGAGTTTGTATATCACTTGCTAGAGGGGTTAGGGTTACTGTATTTAACATGTCTACTCGCTTACAATGTATTGACCTCAAGGAGAGAGGTCACCGCATCATCCACGCCACCGACGTCATACATATGCTACCAGCATTCAGCACCTTTAGCTCTGTTTAATTGCATTTATATCATTGCAATCCTTTCCGAATACCCGATCAGCCATATAATGGCGACCGACGTGAGAATCGCCCAGGCAATAGGGACGCTTGGCTGTGCAGCGGCAGCAAGTAAGTAGCACTACCAACGCAACAGATGACCAGACACTCACAGTATACCAGGCGGAATTGCTACGTTGTCAATAATGAGCATTCCGAATCTCTTACTTCCAGCTCGTCGGCCACTTAGCGCGACACTGCCATTCCATGATACCCCAGGAACCTCGACCGCCCACTTGACACACCAGTGGTATGATCTGTATAACCGTGGCAGCAGGATTTTCCCCGGTATATCCGCAGTATCTTCACTAGCAAACCTTTATGCGCTCTGGGCATTGCGGGACTCCCCTACCCCTGCACCAGATATCTTTGGGTCCAGCTGGTCCACATGCTATCTGCTTGCTGTCGGAGTTACGCTGAGCATCGCACCTTTTACGGGTACGTTTATGAAGAAGACCAATGCCAAACTGATGGGTCATGCAAAGCGCGATGACGCGGCTATCGCCGAGGGTACCGAGGATATGGTGCTCAGTCCGCAGGAGAAGGCGAAGCGGGCTAGGGAGGATAGCGAGGTGATTGAACTTTTGCAGCATTGGTCGCAGTTAAATTTGATTAGGGCTACGTTTCCACTTGTTGGGGCTGGCATTGGGTTCTATGCTGCTGTCTCCAGCTGGATAATTCCTTAAATGGGAATGCTAAAAGGTGTGGCGACATGAATCTCCGCAGATTGTTAATTAGTCCTGCGTGTGATTATATCAAAGGAAGCTTCGGTCTTCAAATATGGGTATCGTCAAATTTCTATCAGGGTTGCATATACGTTGCGACTACCCAGGCAATTGTATATTTATACACAAGTAGGAGAAGAGAAGGCCAGTATATACCTCCAAGAGCACCCAGAGTGTGGGACGTGTGCCTTAGGTTACTGTCAAGTCGAAGCAGGCTTTAGGTCCTCATCCTCGTTTCTACCTCGCGCGCTATCGCCTTCTGTAGGCTCTTTTTCAATGGTGGACCATTGCTCCGAATGTTGCAGGGCTTCATCAGCGCTGATCTCCTGCAATGGGCTGGATTTGTCCGATGAGTCCGCTTGGCGAAGATCTGTCCCACGGGTCTCGTCCTCCGGTTCCTCGTCAATGGCAAAGCCGACGATCTTTCCAGTGCCAGGCTGTGACCGTGCTTCTTCTAGCACATCGCCATTCCAAGGCTGGCACTTCTTAACAATTTCACCACAACGGAGGCATGACCATCCCTGGCCTTCTTCTGCTTCAACTTTCTGCACAATGCAAACAAAACAATAGATACAGCCGCAAGGGACGGTCTCATATGGGTTTGTGATATCGGTCTGTGCCGATCCCACAATGCCCCCTGATGTAGAGGCTGCCATGGCATCGCTTTCTGACGTTGTGGTGGGATTCTGATCGCGGTAGCAGATAGCACATGTTCGCTCTGGGAGGAAGGCCAGTTCTCCTTGTTTCTCGGAAACCTCGTCGTCATCCCCGGTTGAACGGACAGAATTGACCATCTTCTGCCAGGCACGGGCGATCCATCGCCGCCAGCGACCAATTCCAACCAGAGGAAGGAGGAAAAGAAGGAATTCGGTAAATGCATGCCAAACTAGTTGACGATTTAGATACTCAAAGGATACTTCCCGGCTAGCCTGTGCAGACGGCGGAGCAAGGCGGATGCGGAGGATGCGATCGACCAAGGTACGGTATCGGCCATTCACGAGGAACACCAGGAAAGAGATAAAGGCGGCGATTGAGTGTGATGTTGAGAGCATGTCTGTTAGTCCCGACAGCATTCGGATGTCCTGTGACGGCTTTATAGTATCCATTAGTAAAATATCGCCAACGGAGAGCAATACGTGGGCAACTGACCTCGTCATAGCCGCCTTCCTGTCCGACCAACCAGCTCTCCCACTTATCCCAAGCATATCGCCCTCCAACCGTCAATAAGCCATAAATACTCTTCTGCCATTTCGTAGGAGAAGAGTAAACAGGCCCTTTACTTCGACTATCGGTGTATTTGAGGCCTTGTAGCGCTGCACCATACGATGCATTGTGATCCCATATTGACAGTTTAAAGAGGATAGCCCGTAACGCGAACAGAATCTCGTGTGACCAATCTTCGCGCATTTGAGGCTATTGTCATTGTCAGCTCAATTTGTCACAACGCTTCAGAGGCTAATTGGTCAGGCATTCAGACATACGCCGAAGTATTTGAGGGCATCCCCGACCTGACCTTTCATCAGACCAAGCAGTTCCTCATCCAACAATTCAGCATCCACCTGGCCCACTCGAAATGCGGGGCGCGTGCCATCCCGGCCCTTGATGGAATTCCATATCCGCCACCCCGAGCTGGGTAGTCGATTCAATGGATATGGCAGACGCTGGACGGTGGCCGGGCTGATCGGAGAGGCCCGCTGCTGTGCTGCGTGGCGTGCGCGCGCTTCGGCCTCACGCTGGCGACGTCGTTCAAGAACCCGTTCTTGTGCGGCGGCGAAGTTTGTTGAACTCATCGCGGAATCATGACGCGGTTGTAGAGGATAGGAGCGAGCAGGTAGGGGATTAGTGAGAGAACGGGGAAATGGGTCCCGGAGTTGCTCATCGACGCTCGGTTCCCCAGACGGAAGAGCCGAGGTATATCACGTGACGTTACCTTTTCCCATGCTCTTTTGGAAGCTGTGAATAATGAAGTATATAAAGCTGTGAATAATGAAGTATATAAATTCTTAGTGACAAAAGATCATAATATGTACCTGCCTAGGTACAAATTTGTATTGGAAAGCGTTGTGGTGGGCTCCCTAGGCCCTCGGAGATAGCCTCATGCATATCAACCCCAGTCACTGAATTTGACCAAGGCATCCATGACCAAAGCTTATCATTGATTGAATCAAGTGACCGTCTACTTGTTTCATGTTACTGAATTCTTCGCTGCACAGTTGGAATCGTCACACAGATATCTGGGCAGCCAACATAAGCCATTTCAATTTATCCATGCGAGTCAGCTTTGTACATGATTTTGTACGACTTCAACCAGATTGCCCAATAAAGCCCCTGACAAATGACGTCGGAGGTGTCCTTGAATTTGGCCAAGGACCAGTAATAACTGGGTTTGAAATGGCAGGCCCAATTGAAAGCTTGAAGTCGACCGTGCTTTGCTCGCATGTTTATAAATTAAACCATCGTCCAGTGCTGAATTGGCCTTGGTTAGACCTGTGCCTTAATTTGCTCGTTGTTATAAAACTCAACCTATCCAGTATGGCATCTATAGTGCATGAATCTATCGAGACTCGGCTGTTCATTAACGGCGAGGTAGGGATCAACTACGTTTATGACCCTCTATCGTTACACTGACCTTTTTAGTTTCGAGCATCTTCTAGTAACAAAACATTTGAAGTGGTATATCCATACACCAAAGAGGTCGTTGCGCAAGGTGTGTCCCCATATCCACAAAACACCAAGCTGCCGTTAACACCTACTCTGTTATTGAAGTCCAAGAAGCCGACACACAGGATGTAGAGGATGCTGTTACTGCTGCCAGCAGAGCTTTCCCCTCCTGGCGAGACCTGGGCACCGACAAGCGCGGCATATACCTGCGCAAACTATCCCAGCTCATCTTGGAATCAAACAACGAGCTAGCGCACCTCGAGACACTCTGTACCGGCCGACCGATCTCGCAGTTTATTGACGGGAGTCTAGCAGCCGAGTCCTTTGCGTACTTCGCTGGTGGCGGTTGGACCGCGCAAGGGACGGCCAGTCTCAACACTCCGGACCACCTAAACCTGACCGTCAAGCAGCCATATGGCGTGGTAGCACTTATCATTCCGTGGAACTTTCCACTTGTAATGTTCGCTGGGAAGCTGGCGCCGGCGTTGGCAGCAGGAAATACAGTTGTGTTGAAGAGCAGTGAGAAGGCGCCGTTGACGGTTTGTGCAATATCTTTTACATATCACTTCTGCGGGCTGACACACAACGAAGTCTCTCTATGTAGCCAAGCTGATTGAGAAAGTGGGCTTTCCACCCGGAGTCGTCAACATCATCTCTGGCTTCGGCAACCCTACCGGGGCGGCCCTGGCATCGCACATGGCCATCCGCTGTATCAGCTTCACTGGCTCCACGGCAACGGGCCAGAAGATACAGGCGGCCGCCGCAAACTCCAACATGAAACACGTGCACATGGAGCTGGGCGGGAAATCACCGGCGATTATCTTCGAAGACGCGGATCTGGAGACAGCTGTTGCGCAGACACAGTTCGGCATTCAGTTTAATAGTGGACAAGTGTGCGCGGCGAACTCACGGATCTATGTGCACGAGTCAGTGGCCGAAGAATTCATTAAATTATTCCGTGCAAAGTTTGCTGCTGTCCGGATGGGTGATCCACTCGACCCTGCTACCTCACATGGTCCGCAGGTTGACCTGCTGCAGTATAACCGGATCAAGGAATACCTTGCTATCGGGGAAAAGGACGGGACGCTCAGTCTGGGTGGTGATGCCAATGACGGTTTCTTTGTGCGGCCGACTGTCTTTGAGGGCGTTTCTGAGGACTCGCGGCTGATGCGAGAGGAGGTCTTCGGTCCGGTTGTTGCGATCAATACCTTTTCCACCGAGACTGAAGCGATCGAGAAGGCGAATAACTCAGACTTTGGGCTGTACGCTGCTGTCTTTACCAAGGATCTTGACTGCGCCGTTCGCTTGGCTAAGGCTTTGAATGCGGGCACTGTTGGGGTTAACTGCACTAGCCCGACTAATGCCAAGGATACTGCGTTCGGTGGGTTCAAGATGAGTGGGAATGGCCGGGAGGGGTTTTTGTATAGTCTTGACAGTTTTCTTGAGACTAAGAGTATCCTGATCAAGACAGCACGTCTGTGACAGATACGTAGTTTGACCAAAGATATGGTTGACAACGGATGTGTGATTTTCAGGGTCATGAAGAATCGAGTACAATAAGTTCATGCCAAGGTACCTGGTTCTACCGAAGAAAATCCAGTGTTCGGCAGTATCCGACACACAGATAGGAAAAAGGGTGATCAGCTACAGAAGTGGACAGGTCTGGCTATAGTCTTCCTAGTGGTATTTTAATGGGAACAGCAATATCAGGATGATAAGAATTCAATTTTGATTCATAGCTTCATAGCTCAAGATTAAGATATCAGCCTCCTGATAGAGATTTCTGTTTGTGTTTTACATCTCCGAAATTTGGAGATAACATTCCTTCCCAGTCAATTGGGACCGCTGTAAGTTTCCGCATGATAAAGAGTCATACGACCACAGCCACACACGGCCGACTAGCAAGAATGAATGGAGAACAGCTTAATCAGAAGGAGAAGGCAGCGATGGCCAGCAGGACTGCAAAAACGGCAGTAGAGATGGGAGCCGTGGGAGCAACCCCACTGCTTTTGTCGCTAGAGTCCACCACTGTAGAGTTGGTCTTGGTGGCGGTATCGTTTGATCGCTTGGAGGTGACCTTGTCGTTGTAGTGAGCCTTGGCATTCCAGGGGTACGGCTTGGTATCGTATGTCGCGTCCAGGTGCCCATAGGTTTTCTTGACGGCATCCAGAATACCGTGACCAGCGGAGCACTTCTCATTGGCATCAGTGATGGGAACCGGCCACTCAGGAATGAACGTGGAGGTATTGCCAACGGACTTGTCCCCAATTGACATGGGACCAGGGTAGGTCTGGTTAAGCGTGAGATGGGTCTTGTCGACTTCGTAGTTGACGTAACCGGTCTTGTTGGCGACAATCTCGAAGATGTTGGCACCGCAATCCCAGCGACCAAGGGAAGGAAGACCCCAGTTGGCGGAGACGCTGGCAATGCTCGAGTAGTGAGTGTAGAACGTGTTGTCCTTGGTACCCTTGAGGTGCTGAGGAATGGCGCCACCGACGAGAACGCTGAAGATACGGTTGTCGTTCGTGTAGGTATCGTCCTCATCGAATGTCAGAAGGAGGAGAGTGTTGTTGTAGAAGTATTCGTTCTCAAGCAATTTGGCCACGTAAGGACGCTCCCACTTGGCAGCGAAAGTGATGTTGGTGTCATGCGCATCGTTGGTCATGTTAGGAGTGATGAATGCCCACTGAGGAAGCTTCTTGTCACGCAGATCGTTTTCAAAGTCATCAAAGCTCTTGATGGAACGTGCGCGACTGTCGTTGGCCACAACGGAGTCGTAAAGCACCATTGGGTTGTGCTTCCGAACGTAATCAGGGTGGTAAGTTTCCTGGTTGGAGTAGTTGTAGCCCTGGAAACCAGCATAGGGAATGTGCTCCTGGTATTCAGCCCACGAGATGTGCTTGGTGTCAAGCAGATCAGCAATGGAGGAAATGTTCTCAGGCATCTGCTTGAAGTCGTCGTTATCCATTCCAAACGTATCACCGCCAGCGGCAGCGCAGTAGTTGGGCTCGGAAGGATGGGTGACAGCATAGAAGTTGGTCCTGAAGAATATCAGAACGGGTCATCTCACTCATTGCTCAAGTCATTGGAAACCTACAAGAGAATACCCTGAGAAGCAAGCCACTGCATGTTGGTATCCGCAGCGGAGTCGTCATAGTCCTACGAGCCCGTTAGTCGTGGTGTTTCGGAGACTCCAGGCACCTTGGAATGTTTTGGTGATTTGTCACGTACGATGTTCTCCAGCCAGATTTGATAAAAACGATCAAAAGCCAAGCCCTTGACATCAGAGACGGTGACCTCCGGCTTGGTAGTTGCCGCAGCCGCCTGGATGTCCGCGAGAGCGGGCTCAGAGGTGGTAGCTGTCTGAGCGACTGCCAGAGCAGCCACTCCCATCAAGACCGCGAGAACAGCCTTCATTTTGATGGATCTCGCAGAAAATCAAGGAAGGATTGATGTAGCTGATGAGATGGGACTGAGGCAAGCCAAGGAGGATGAAGATGGTAAGAAAGAAGAAAGAAGAAAAGATCGTCAAGTGAGTGGAATGCCAGAATATGTATGGAAGGGAAGGGGTCACGACACGTGCATTTTACATCGGAGACGAGCTCTTAGGGCTGGAGGAAGGTGTACCTGGCAGGTACGTGAGGTCGTGCGGCTTTACCAGCTTTCTTTAAGTCTCATAGAGGTATTCTGTACTCTGTACCTGACGTTGAGTTGAAGTTTAGGCAGAACATCTGTTATATGATGCTGGCACATGGAGAAACAGAGCCCTCTGATTGGCCCGAAAGGTACGTTCAAAATGAGGGGCCGGGCCAAGCGCAAGGCGAATGCTTAGCCGACTAGCTAATCCATGGCAACCGCCCCGGAGTCCGGGTTCGGCCCTCCCGAGGTCCCTCCAGGGCCCTCCTCTCACAGCAGCTTTAGACGGTAGAAAAGAAAAACAATTACCTACATATGTAGGTACGCATGTAGGCTACAAAGTAGGGGGCATCCATAGAAGTACCCCCGGGCTTATGCACTTGATTTCTTGTAATGTCTGTTAGTGAGACAGATTGAACCGAAGTTGGGAATTATAGGGCGCTAGCGTGCCCAGCCGGTGCGTTTCCCAAGGTTCTTGAGATATGCTGACTCGGATGCTTAGCCCGCCGCTTAGTGAGTGGGGAACGCCTGATCCCTTGGCAAATCACTGAGCTATATCTAGGGGCGTGCTGAGTTTCCCAGTGATAGAAATGGACAGATGAGTACGGAGTACTAAAACAGACCTCGCGAAATGGACCTCGAAGTGGTAGAGGAAACCCGCAACATACATAGGTAATTTTATGGAAGTACAAGCTCAGATTCTGGGAGTCCATGCATTATGTACATACTACATAGGTACATACTAGTCCAGGGTTGGGTGAAATATTGATACACCTTGAGACTGCCTACTAGAGCAGTTTCTCACCTGGGTGCTTGTCGGGGAGTACAAGTAAAGCCAGCACTGGCCATTTGAGAAGAGCCGGAAAATGATAATTCCCGTTGAGTAAATAATTCAAATGAAAATTCTCTGCGATCCTTTAACTTTCATGAAAGACAATCAAGTGGACACGTGCGGGGCCGGCGATTTCGAAATTTATCCATTGTCCTAGTCGGGAAGGTAACATTGCTGAGGTTCATTACCATGCGACATGACTCTTATGCCCACGTCGGTCGGAGATCGAGTCTTGAACATCATTGAATTATGAAAATTCCATTATATTACAGGTCATCAGGTATCATTTGTATGTATTCTTACTGGGCAATTCTGCGACACTTCGTATCCTGGTAACCACCACAGTCCTCGGTCTAGATATTGACATCAGTCTCTCGGGCCGCCAGGGCCCTGGAAATGATATGCTCTAGCGAGTCTAGAATGGACGGGATGTTAGCAGTCTGAACAATTGACAGCTCACAGAGAAACGGTGTATGGCATACCTGTTGCGGTCGTCACGAACACCACCCTCCTCCTCGGGAATCACACGGTGATCGCTGTCTTGGGCAGTTGTGCCAGGGCCGTACCTCACACTTGTGGGCTCAGAGAATCGATTGTTGACCATCTCGTCAACACCCGACTCAAGAGCTTGAATGGTTATTAGACAAATGGCACCGACTAAGACCGGCTTCTCCACGTACTTGAGTCACTCTTCTTGCTGCGACCCACCTTGGCCTGGTGGGTGTTCAGGTCCCTCTCAGTATTGAAGTCTACATGCTTCAATTCTTCGGTGGTAGGCATGTTGTCTGATGATTTTTATATATTGTAGTATATGTAGATAACTGGATAGTTGCGTGTTTTAAGATGGATTTGAACTCGAGATTGCCATCTATTGAACTGATTTGCGCTTTATATACATTGCCCCATCCACATCATACCTACTTCACTTCAGGTTAGGAATTGAGGTTGCATCATGCTACATCATAGGTATGTCACGAGTAGAGGAGGATAGGGAGCATTGTAGGTCAATTGGAAGATTTTTGCTCGAAAACAACCTTGGAGTTGTCGATCCCAGTTTGATAACAACGTGAACAGGCTGGTCGAAGCTCGACTTCATTGTCTCCACGAGGGAAACGTCCGTTGGGAGCCCTAGCAGCAGATATGAATCGGGACAGATGTTAGGGTCCAACCCTAGGGTTCGGCGGGATCGGAATATGAATCTTCCGGAGGCGGGGAGTTTATGCTAGAGAGGGAGCTCCGACGAATGCCAGTTTGTTGATCAAGTAACATCTTGGTACTCGCGCAGAGTTCATTTTCATGAATGTCTAAGGATCCAGGGCACTTCATGAGACTCTGACTTGGTGCTTGTATTAGCAGACCTACATACAGGCTTCGCTGGGCTTTTTCCACGCGTCGATCAACAGCCTATTCGCCATGACCTTCGCCATCGAAGCACAGGGCGAGACCAACCCACTCAGCCCTCAAAATGTGCTCAGTACGCTAGTCCTTGCGGCAAGCTCGTCCCAGCAGCAAGTTCGCACGGGCACTGCACAGCTCCAGAACTGGGAGAAACAGGGCATGTACTACTCTTTTCTACAGGTATCAGTTGACATTCTTGGTTGTTGTTGCTTCACCTAATAACAGCTTTTATAACATACAGGAAGTCTTTCTTGACCACTCCGTACCGAATGAAGTTCGCTATCTCGCCATCATCCAACTAAAGAACGGCATTGATAAATACTGGCGCAAGACAGCACCAAAGTATGTTATCGGAATATTGCTAAGACGAGGGCATGCTAACACTTGTGGAAGTGCGATCAAACCGGAAGAAAAGGAACACATCAAGACCCGGGCTCTCGCGGCGGGAATCGTTGAGCCTGCACCGCTGCTGGCTCTCCATAACTCGCTGATGATTGCCAAAATCATGCGATTTGAGTTTCCTCATGACTGGTATGACAGGATGCAGCTATGTGTTTTCTGATTCTAATTTCACCCAGGCCCGATGCAATTGCGTACATCATTCTTTCACTCCGGTCCTCCGTCCAACCTGGAGCAAATCCGCTCCAACTCCCCCGAACTCTCCTCATATTGCTACAAATAATCAAGGAATTATCCACGGCACGAATTCAACGAACGCGACACAATCTTCAGTCTGCGTCGCCTGAGATATTCCAGTTACTGGGAGGCATCTATGTTGATAAAATCAATCAATGGGGGGCGATACTGGACCAGGGTGCTGCCAAGGAGGGGGAGTTGCTAGAGACGCTTGAATTGAGTTTAGTGTCTCTCAAGGTCCTAAGGCGCCTGATCATTGCTGGCTTCGAACACCCGAGTCGTAGCCAAGAAGTACAGGGCTTTTGGGAGCTGACCCATTCGCACTTTAGCAAATTCCATTCTCTTGTGGATGGGTCTGCTAAGCTACCTGAACCAATTCATCGGGCTATCGAGAGACATTTGCTGCAGACATCGAAGTTGCATGTTGAAATGGCCAAAACACACCCCGCATCTTTCGCGTTGCTGCCACATAGTATCTCGCTTGTCAAGTCGTATTGGTCATTAGTCGTCGAACTCGGCGAGAAGTATGACAGCCTTGGTGCTGGGGCCGAAGATGAAGGGAAATCCTTGACTGAGAAGATCGGCCTCCGGGCTTTGCTCTTGATTCGTGCATGCGCAAAAATGGCGTTCAACCCTGCTCAGACTTTCAAATATCAGACACCGGAAGACAAGGAGGAGCGAAAACAATCTGTTCAGCTCGTCAAAACCCAACTTTTTACCGAAGAATTTGTGATCAATGTCATGGAGCTTCTCGTCACACAGTTCTTCAGGTTCCGCAAGATCGATTTCCAAGACTGGGAAGAAGAACCGGAGGACTGGGAGAAGCGGGAGGAAGAGAACACTGAGGCTTGGGAGTTCTCAATCCGTTCATGCTCTGAAAAGCTTTTCCTTGATCTTGTGATTCACTTCAAGGATTTACTGATTCCACGTCTGCTCACCGTATTCTATACTTTCGCAAGTAAGTTATTGATGAGCTATCCATGGATATAATGTGTGCGCAACTCTAACTTTATACTCTAGGCACCGACAACCACAACGTGCTGTTGAAAGACTCGTTGTATTCTGCCATCGGCTTGGCTGCGGCCAGTCTCGAACATCATCTAGACTTCAATGCATTCTTGGAGCATACCATGGTTACTGAGGTCCAGTCGCAGGAACCAGAGTACAAGCTTCTGAGGAGAAGAATTGCGCTCGTGCTTGGCCAATGGGTCCCGGTTAAGGCAGGCGAACTGAACATGAACGCAGTTTACCAGATCTTCCAGCATCTGCTCGGAAAGCATGATCCTTTGAATGATCTGGTCGTCCGCATCACCGCCGGTCGGCAACTGCGGAGTGTACTTGATTCATATGAATTCTCACCCCAAGCATTTATGTCATTTGCGCCTACCATCTTGGAGAGTCTCATGTCTCTCGTCCAAGAAGTCGAATCTTCGGATACCAAGATGGGGCTTTTGGAGACGGTTCGCATGGTGGTGGTCAAGATGGAAGATCAAGTAAGTTGACGCCTCGTTTTCGTCCGCGGCTGCGTAACTCACAATATTAGATCACCCCCTTCTCCGATCGAATAATCTCTTTACTCCCGCCGTTATGGGAAAGCTCTGGAGAAGAACACTTGATGAAACAAGCTATCTTGACTTTGCTGTCATCCCTGATCCAATCGCTAGGACAGGAGTCTGTGAGATATCACGCTCTCATTCTTCCACTGATTCAAAGCTCAGTAGAACCAGGCTCGGTAAGCCCCGTGTGAATCATGCCGCGCCGTTTCATCCTAGCCTAACTTTTCGCCAAGGAAACCATTGTTTACCTTCTAGATGAGGCCTTGGATCTCTGGCATGCCATAATCCAGGCTACGCCATCTCCTGCCTCACCGGAGATCATATCACTCCTCCCATCTTTGTTCCCCATTCTCGAAGCAGCAACCGATAGCACTCCGCAAGCTATTCATATCCTCGAATCTTATGTGTTCCTTGCGCCGCAGGAGATCCTCAGTGACCGTTTCCGCTTCCAAATCCTGGTGATCCTTGAATCACTACTCAAATCCACAACCAAGCAACGTCTCGGTGTGATACCTCGCCTTGTTGATTTGATGCTTCGCGGTGCTGAGACTGTCGACGGCGGTAGTGAAGCAACCTATAGCGTTATTTCCCAGTCCCTTCTGGACAGCTCATTCCTCGCATCCCTGCTGGAAGGCCTTTACTCTGCCCATGAAGCGAGTCAGACATCTGGCCCAAACAGAAAGACCTCGCCTGTGGTCGGAGTCGTCGAGAGCGATTACTATTCCGTGCTAGCGCGCCTTGCATTGGCTAGCCCTACCATTTTAGCCTCATCGGTCGGCGCCGCGACCAACTCATCCGAAGAACAATCTCTGACATGGATCATGACCGAGTGGTTTTTGCACTACGACAACATTGGCAGCGTCAACCAAAAGAAACTCCACGTACTTGCCCTTACCCAACTCTTGGCCCTACCAGGAGACCCACTCGATCCGTCTTTACCACCTCCACCCCCTGCCTACATTCTTTCTCACCTGCAATCATACTTAAGTGTATGGACAGATCTCATCACCGAGTTAGCAGACGGCGGCACTGACCCCAATGCCGATTATTTGGTATGCTGGAACGCACCAGCCGGGTCAGCAACCGCGATGCCAGAAAGCAACCAGGAGGTCGAATCACCTGAGATCATCCGTCGCCGTGACTGGCAGTCCGGGGATGCAATTCATCGCTTCATGATCCGAGACTTTGTGCGCCATCGTCTGCAAGAGGTTATTGCTGGCTGTGGTGGGGCGCAACGGTTCCAGGATGAGTGGCTAGTTAACGTTGACACTGAAGTTGTTGCGGCGTTTGGAGCCCTTGGATTGCTCTGAGTTAAGGAAGAAGACCTTGCTCACTTCGATATCAGTGGCACACTTTCCATTTGCATTGCCACCATTACATTGTATATGCTTCTTACAGCCTCATATTATTCCATTTGCATGACCGCCAGGTCCATAACTATGACTTTTAGCATCCTCAGAATACCAGTTACATATCCCAATACATATGATATCTCTTCAAATCGGCGAATAATAGACCTTTCCTTGGGCTTTAATTCTTATGCACTGCGAATTATCGGGATTCAAAGGCCAGAGATGAGTTCCAGGTGTCAACCTTATTTTGCGCTTAGCTTACCAAAGTTGGTAATAAACTGGCTATGGTTCAGGAAGAAGAGCAAAGAACCCCAAGAGAGCAAAAGAATATCAGTTGTATTGCCAGTTTTACAACCTAACTATGTAGCCAACCCTAAAGATTGAAGCACACCACAACACCACAGGAGCCAACTCGCTTATAGGCAAGCCCAGGAGACAATTAAAGTATACATTATGTATGTATGAACCAGATCCCGAATCAGGGCTGGACAAACAGTTGGACAAAGAAAGATCAAAACACGTCAAAATCAGTAGCATGCTCCAAGCTACCTTTGAAAAAGAAGAGCGAAAAGGCATATAACTGGTAACGCTCAGCACTGGCCGGGGAATTGACGGCTAGTGACAGGGTTGGGGAAGACACCGCCAGCGATTTGCTGTTGCATGTCCCACTCAGGAGCACCCTCAGTCTTCCAGGTCCAGTAGACCCAGCCGTTACCCTTCTCATAAGCATCAAGTTGAGCTTCGATGAAGCGACGAAGGTTGCTTCGCTCATCCTCAGACAGAGCAGCCACGGATCCAGTAGACTTGCCCTCACAGCTGCCGACGTGCTGACTACTGGCGAAAGTACCATCGTAGCGGGCACCGATACCCTTTCCGTTCAGGTATTTGGCACAGTCGGTCATGGCACCGGTCCACTCACCAACAATAGCCCACTTATCAGAGGTCACAACGTGGTCTTGGGCAAAGCTGCAGACGTTGCTGACGTGGGTTTGGGTGTCCATGGTGAGAAGACCGCTGTCGAACACTTCGTAGTGGTGTGTGTCCATCATCACATACCAGACACCGGCAGATTCGCTCATGAAGCCGTTCCATGATTCAGTAGGCACGAAACCGTCATGCAGGACAAGCGTGGTGTCCTGGCTTGCCTTACGGATAAGACCCCATGAATCGTAGTAGTACTGCTTCAGACCATCCTGGTTCACTCCGCCTGGGATGCTAGGCTCGTTCAAAGCCTCGATCGCCGTCACGACATCTCCATCACCTTGGTAGCGCGCAGCGAGAGCCTCCAGGGCATCCTTGGTATCCTCAACAGTATTACCCTGTTGCCATTGGATAGGGCCGCGCTTTCCACTGTTGTCAAAGCCATTCTGAGAGCCAGGGGCTGTGTGGTTGTCAGTGGTTGTCATACAATACATAGATGCGGAAACGTACCCCCGTGCAAGTCAAGCATGACCTTCAGACCGGCGGCACGAGCCCAGCCGATAGCCTGGTCGAGATACTCCAGCTGACCGTCGACATATGGGTCACCATCCAAGTGCTTCAGGGCCCAGTATCCCACAGGGATTCTGACGTGGTTCATTCCTGCGCTGGCAATTTGGTTCAAGTCGTCGGCGGTAATGAAAGTGCTCCAGTGTTGGGACAGAACAGAGCGACATTGGTCCGCGCCCAAAGTCGCACAAAGAGACCACTCATCGACAGCAGAATCGCCAGCTGCGTCAAAAAGAGATGGAGTGATCCATGGCTCTGTTACCAGCCAACCACCGAGGTTGACACCTCGGACCTTATCACCACGGTAGTCGAAGTTGAGACTACTATACACCGATTTATGTTAGTATGTGTACAAACACGGGTACAGTAGAACTGTCTAGATGATAAGGAGGTACCACTCACACTGCGGGTGTAGCCTGCACCAAGGCTGCCAATAAAGACAGCCCAACCAAGGACTTCTGCGCGAACTTGGACATGGTCGGCATGTTGAGAACCCTAATTTGGTCAGACTCGGAAAACAGGTGGCTGGGTTTGAAAATTGAGTTAATGAGGAATGAGGAATGAAGAACGAAGAATCAAGGAATGATTAGATTTGAGGTGCATGGTTGGAGATCAGCTGTTATAAGTAACTCGATGTCGATAGTTGCTGATCAGGTAGCCGGATGCAGGAGAACGAAAGGTTACCTGGCCAAGAGCGGAAGTCCCCACGGGAAATGACAAAAATTGAAGCAAAAGTAACGTACCTGGGTAGATTATCCTTGGGCCACTGTCTGAATCAAGAAAAAGGTGGAGTGGCCGGAAGCGGTTGCGGGAGTGTATTCTGGGGTTTGGGGTTTAAAGGCACAAAGGTCTTGTTCTTGAGAGTAACGGTGGCTGACCCCGGGAAGCGTCTTGCTTCTTAGATACCACCTGTGGACTTGAAGGTCAACGATATCGAATATGGATCAACGAGTAGTTGGACAATGTGGGGATAAAGACTGTGAAAGTCTCAGATTCGTCACTCACCTACTTCGTCACTTCGTCACTATGTGTTCTACTGGAAACTGCGACCCAAAATAGTACCCGGGGAAGCTATACTCCTTACCTCATTGCCCTATATCAATTAGGGTTTCCCTTTTGCAATTTTCAACTTTCCATTTGGACTGAATACATCCAACATAGACCACACATTATGGCCTACACACTGAATACTCACGGCAGAAAAGAATCAAATTCTGTTTGCAGATCTCACATTCCTCGTGATGATCGGCACGTGGCATCTCCGACCCTTTAAGGAATGTGGTCTCTTGGCTTCTAGACGAGCTGACGAATATTCACGCTACGTAAGTGTTGGGGTAAGGCTAAACTTAAAAATTTCAGGTCCTACAAGTCAAACTATGCTGTTTAACAAGGGTATTCTTTGGGGACTAAGTACATATGTACGTACATTGCTGTATATACCCGTGGGTATGGGTTTAATTCACCCTAAAGCCCTCTAAAATACAAAAAGGGAAAAAGACCAAGAGTTATTCAGAGCCTAATATACTATATATACGATCTAATGAGCTGAGAGCATAGAGTAGTAGGTATAGTCAAGGCAAGGTGGTCGAGACCTGTCGTCCTCGGTACTTCCATTTCCGGCGACAAGTGCATTGTATCGGAGACAAGGGGAGAACCAAAACTTATGACGTGCATTGTCCTCAAAGAGGCTGACAGTTACACTGCTACACTCTCACATCCGTCTAATTCAGGGGCCATTGTTCGCCGACCGTGACAAGTCGGGTAGAATATGGGTCTGCACATGTTTGCAACTAGACCTTGCAGGTCTCGGGCTTTGAATTTGTAACCTTGAGCTCACGTAAGACAGTATCCTCACCCGTGCAGGAATGTGAAAAATGTTAAGATCGGAATGTACGTCCACGCATTTCACGGTTCTGGGCCCTCGAGGTCTGAGAGACCAAGTCAATTTCTATCTACTAATTCGGCTTAACATCTCCATTAGGTGATAACAGAGCAAAACTGAAATTCCTTGCAGAAAACTACGGATGGGCTATTCCGAATAGCGTGTAGACTATGTAGGCGCTCGTTTATAACAACGGGCGCCACTAAACAGGGCGAAGCATATGCCAAAGTCATTCCAACGTTATTATGAGAGCCCTCTCCCTGACCTTCACTTCCTTGGAGCTGCCTGGCCGGAGATAAAATGCCTATAAAACATGAAAAACCGTATGACAATTCTCAATGTAAAAGAGTGAACAAGTTGGTATTCTGTTTTCTATAGTACACGTCTCTGCTAGAATCCGCCAAATATCTCTACATGCTCTCGGATTGAGCCTCGGCAGCCGACGCATCCAAGGGAGCAGACAGTCCGACCCGGTCAATAGTCCGAGTGTAAGCAACACCGCCGTTGACTCTGTCCTCGTGCACGACCAAGTCCTTGCGGTTAGTGTCGACAAGGAGACGGATCAAGTCCGGGCGCATATAGTGACCGCCGAAATCGGCCAAAGACTTGGTAAGATGGATCTCGTCGAGGTCAATCTATTTGACGGCCAATTAGTTTGACATTCTGAGGAAACAAAAACATCCTCCACTTACGTCAACGAAAAGAAGTCCCTGGAAGTCTTTGTCGGGGTGAGGAACGAGGTTCTGTCCATCGGGCCCAAAGATACGGCCATTCCCGTTGTAGATGTTGGGATCCTCAAGCTCTTTTCCAGGAGGTGTGTTGAGCTTGATCCCCTCGGCAGTAATTGTCTGCCACGGCGCAAGAGTGAACGAACCGGTCTCGATCGCGTAAGCAGGGGTAACAAGCTGAGCAGTCTTGTCAGTAATCAGACCAACTCCTCGCAAAAAGGAAAAGGGGAAATATACATCTGCGTTTGCCTCGGCCACATTGGTGTATGGGTCCGGGTACTTGAGGGTCTCCTTTCCGGGATACAGAGGCCAAGCAGCGATGTGCACCTGCTCGCCGAGCGAGGCGGCGTACGCCTTCAGGAAAGGATTCATGTTCTCCCAGCAGTTCAGGTGTCCAATGCGGCCGATCTCGGTGTCCATCACTGACTCAGTAGTGTCGCCAGTGCCATCACCGAAAACAAGGCGCTCGACGTGGGTAGCCTTGATTTTGCGACGGTGATTGATGACATCTCCGGCTGGGCTAATCATAATCTGCGTCGTATACAAGCTGGCGAGATCGAGCTCCGAGTATCCAAGAGACACCCAAATCTTGTTGGCTTTGGCTGCTTCGCGGATGCGGCGCATCTCATCCGAGTCGGAAGCGAGACTGTTCTCGCGATATTTCTTCAGCAAGGGCAGGCTCTCCTGGTAGTTTACCTTCCAAGCCCAGTACGGGTAGCCGGGGATCCCTGTTTATATTTCTTAGTACATTGCATCCGGTACTTGGGACTGTGGTACTAACACAGCTCGGGGAAAGCAATCAGCTTGCAGCCTGCCTTTCCTGCTTCATCGATCCAGTGGATTGTCCGACGGACAGACTCCTGGAGGTCGAACCAGCCTGGCTCAGCATTGACTGCGGCGGCCTTGTACTTCTTGAGAACGGGAACCATGTTGAGATGCTTGTTGTCCTTTTGACACGAGGGTTTGCTTTGAAGATTGGTATGTAGAATAAAAGTCTTCTCAAGCCTGGGGAGAACCTCAATTTATAACACCTCCAGCTGTCCTGTATGTTAGCTTTGAAACGATGACCTGCACCCCCCAAACCCCGAAGCACAAAACGAGCAACATCATGAGATTCGGAAGCCGTCGGACTCGGGAACTGCTCTGAAGCAATTGAATAATGGCCGACATGTTTGGTAGTAAAGCGTAATTCTGGGCTCCGGGGAATATCACGGGGTTTGCTTCAATGTAGTGTCACGCCAGGGGATAGTTCCCGGAAGTTCGATAATTCGCATGTAAGCAAGTATACATTACCTATTTTGAGGCCGGGGTCTGTTAGGGCTGGATTTGATTCAAATCATGCCATGGCAGGTGGCCCTTCTCGTTGCAGAGCTTCGGTGATCCGCCCTAATCCCGGGGTTATACAGAGCTTTCCCGGATTGTTCCACCCAAATCCCGATATCAATTCAATCCCGATAGCAATGATCAGTCACAATGCTGACGGAAATAAAGGAATCGTATTGTTCGAATCCTGTTTCATCCCATAGATTTAGATTTCTCCCAACGAGATTCAACTGGACAATCAATCGGATGTGGCCGATCGCCGCTCTCGGACTTCTTCTAGATACAGGCAAATTTCTTAGCTAGTATTTGCATCTATGTCGCCATTTTCTAAGAGTCCATTACACAATGTCTTGGCCCTTGGGCCATCTTCTACTTACTAGACCGGAGATATACGATCGCAAATGGAACATCTACAAATCCCGAAAGATCTTGGATTTGGCTTGCCACCCGCATCCTGTTACACCACACATCGTCAATACCCTCGAAGAAACGCAGAATAAAGATATATATACCCTAGCGTGCTCGATGCGCCTCTTTTAGTAATACTATCGAACTGTGGCAGGGGGTTATATATTTGTCCGCGACTTGATGACATCCAAGCTTATCGAACTAGAATTATCAAAATTTATGCTGTAACCAATCCGAATATCTTAAGAAAATTTGAATTTTCAAGGGAAGGCGGTTCGTTCATCCAGTCTTCTAAGTAAGTGTCGAATATAGGTTGATAGATACTGACTACATGCGTCTAGCTGGGCGTGGTCCAAATAAGTTAGCCTATGACTTACAACGCAGATATAAAGATCTTCATATCTTGTTATTAACTTTGGAATGTTATCAAAAGTTTACGTGTAATTGGATCTAGACATGCAGATTCTCATCGAACTTTATTCATAGTCGATCACTTGCACGATAAGCTTGGCAACAGGTAAATTCTTCGGTCGTAAACTCTGGTCGGGTTTCTTTCTGACATTGCCAACAGACGGCGATCTGCTGTGGCTACTCGGCAATATGATGGCCAAGCTAACCATTTTACCTATAAAGTGGAAGCCAACCATTTCACCTATCCTCAAAGTGCAAGTCAGCCACAGTAGTTGGGCCTTCGTAGTAGTATGTCCTATGCAAGCTCAATGTATTAGTCCAAATTGAGATCATTCCGACTATCTTTAGCGATCGGACCGTCCCGGCTATATAGATATTGGCTGCTGTAATCAAGCCTGTTGCATATGTTCTGGATCGGAGCAACATTGCCATCTATCATTTTATTTTTGTAAGGGAAATTGCCGAATTCCTAACCTCTCACAGCTATCCATTGGCATACTTTACTTATCAGTAAAATAACCTATATATATGTGATTGGCTACTTCTATGTATTCTGAATCAGGGCTGCTGAAACTGACTAAGCGGCCTACTATTTGAGACTGGTTCCAGATAAATATTTCACATTCGGGGTCAGTTATATTTTCAACATTGTCAGAATCCCAGCGACCTATTAACTTTGACTATTTCTCAGCAATCACAATTTACAGTGGACCAAATTCCGTGTTGTTTTCTCTCAAGAATTGGGAGATCTTGCTAGGGTTGAGCCTCAGTTGCTGTAAACACTCAACCGGGAAGAAAAGGTCATAAATCGGTCATGAGCCACATGATAATCCAGCCCGGGGCTTCCCAAAATGAACAAATGACTCGTTTCCTTAAAAGCCTCTATCACACGACTATTCTCAGAATATCTGATTGGACCGCCAACTCAACCCACCGTAAGCCCTGCTCCTAAAACGCGGGGAAAAAGGGGGGCGGACCACCTCCGAAGCCTAAAAGCTAGCCACAGCCTTTGGCTCTGATGGAGCCATCAAACGGACAAGACAACTCGCCAATCGAGAAGAGGGGATCGTCGTGCCAAGCCACACTTTGAGGGGCAGGGCGGACTTTCGTATTCTTAAATTTGAGGGTTGATACAACCTCAAGCTACCACATTATCGTGAGTGAATGATATATCGTACTCAGGTTATGGGCCGACCATTTTATCAAATATGTATCCCGCTCAGGGTGGGGACGGCTGGTGTGCCATGCAATCCGGACGCAAGGGATTGGATAGGAAACTCGATCCTTGCTGGGTGAACTAACAATGCAAGATCAAGTCATTCCTTGTAAATATGACTTCATTCTTAGACTTGGCTTGGATATGCATGAGCTACATATCTCGGCTAACACATGAGACAGCAAGCAACATGAGTTTCCTTACACGGGAAAAATGTATGTTTGGGTAAAGACAGCTCGGCTGTCGGCCGTGTGTGTTGCGATCGGCGTCCACGGGTTGGGTTTTCGCTGAGTTTCCGCAGTATTGGGCAGAGAAGTCGGCACAGACCGAACCTTGGAACATTCCCTCGCGTGACCGTGGTTTGTTCGCGAGAAATGCTCCACGGAATATACCTCTGACTGCTGTGATTTGTTCCCTAGAACCGAATATGGAGTGAGATTGGAAAGGCTGTTACTATATTTCGATAGTGTTCCGATAATTTCGCTATGTCTCGAGAATCCACACCTTGAGTTCCCGTAACAGGCAGGATGCAGCTCAATGCAGCCCTTTGTGACTGGTTATTTTTTTAGCAATGTGCACATCGACATCATTTCTGCCCGTCAGTTCTTGGCTGCCCTTGGCTCCTGCGCTATCAGTAACGCCAAGCAGTGAGTGATGCTCCCTGTGGTCGGACACCAACCAGCGACCGACATGCTCCCGGTCTTTGGTGAATCTGAATTTCTAGACATCCTGTGTACTACCTGCGGGGTTGGCCCTTGTGGGGGCGTCTCTGCCAAGTGGGCATGTTGTATGCAGGGAAGCACCGTGCCATGAGTCTGTTAGTCCCGCGTACGCAGGGTCCGATGTATTTAAATCCAGGGACTGGCCCAATCATGCCCAGAATGTGATATTTTATTCCGAAGATCTTCAGTACTGTGTTGTGTGCGTGTAGTTCAGAGGATCTGACTCCGATCAACATGCATTTAGCTCAGATTTTTGCCTTGTCGTGCCTGGTGGCGACTGGTCTAGCTCTGCCTGGCATTGGTGGTACCAAACTCCAGGAAAACAAGGCGCGCAGTGCGGGCTACTCCCTTAAGCAGCCCCCCTTGACAACGCCATGGACTGACAAAGTCGGAACAAACCCCTGGCCTGAATATCCGCGGCCGTTGCTGCAGCGCCCTGAATGGAAGAATCTCAATGGGGTGTGGAAGTACCAAAATGCCGAACGCCTCGATGCGGTCCAACAGCCCCCTTTTGGACAGGACCTTGCACAGGAGGTTTTGATTCCGTCGTGTCTCGAGAGTGGATTGTCCGGTAGGTTTTTCCCTGTTGCTGCATTATCATCAAAAATTAACAAATATCCACAGGAATCCAAAGCGATTGGGCTTTGTACTCTTGGTTTTCGACATCCTTTGAAGTATCCCCTTCTTGGAAGGGTGGGCAGGTACTGCTCAATTTTGGAGCTGTAGACTATGAAGCCACAGTATTTGTCAATGGTGAAAATGCAGGCTTCCACCGTGGCGGATATTTCCGCTTCGTGGTGGACGTGACGAAGTACCTGAAGTTTGATCAGCAGAATGAGCTGTGAGTATCCCGCAATCACAACGCAGTCGACTTTCGCATCTGACTTTGAATACAGACTTGTTTTCGTACATGACCCTACTGACGATGGTGACTATGTTATCCCCATTGGAAAGCAAACCCTGAGACCCAGTCACATCTTTTATACCCCGTGTAGCGGTATATGGCAAAGTGTTTGGCTCGAGGCTGCCCCGTCCAACCACATTACCCAACTCGATCTCGATGCAAACATGGATGGTCAAGGTAAGCGTCTGATGTCAGTCTGTGGAAATGTTTGCTTGATTCTGACTGCATGTAGTAAACATCACCGTACACAGCTCGGCCGATGATAAATCCGCCCAGGCTGAGGTCACTGTCCACAAAGATGGCAAGACTGTTGCAACCCACACAGGCCCCACCAACGAGCCATTCCAATTCACAGTATCTTCACCCATGCTCTGGTCCCCAGACTCGCCGAATCTGTACAATGTGACTGTCAAACTCGGCGAAGACCAGGTGGAGAGCTATACTGGCTTCCGTACAATCTCTAGGGGTAAGGTTGACGGGATTGAGCGACCCTTGCTCAATGGCGAATTCATTTTCATGTTCGGTACCTTGGATCAAGGCTATTGGCCCGATGGTTTATACACCCCCCCCAGTAAAGAGGCGATGGTGTACGATTTGCAGATGCTAAAGAAGCTGGGATTCAACATGGTCCGCAAGCATGTGAGTGTCGCCGTATCGCATCATATACCATGGTTTCTCATGCTCATACCGTGGAATGCAGATCAAAATCGAGACCGATCTGTTTTATCAAGCATGCGACGAGCTCGGTCTGCTTGTAATTCAGGACATGCCTTCACTGCGCCCGTTGCAGTCCAGGAGGGACGCAAATTGCAACTCAGTCACTATTCTGCCGAACGAGCAACAGCAGGCTGAGTTCGCCCGCCAGTTGGATGAGTTGGTTAACCAGTTCAAGAGCTTCCCCAGTATTGTCACTTGGGTAAGTTAAGGTGTTCGGTGGAAGCAAGAAATATTCCGACGTTAACCACTATCTATAGGTCGTTTACAACGAAGGCTGGGGCCAGATCACAGCATACCACCCCGAGTTTGCACTGACCGACCGGGTCAGACAGCTGGACCCCACTCGGCTTGTGGACTCGACGAGCGGTTGGACAGACTACGGTGCTGGAGACTTCAGTGTACGCACCCTTCCCCTGTGGCTCAACGACGTGGCTAATTAATATATCTCAGGACAACCACCACTACGCAAACCCACAATGCGGCAGCCCCTTTTATTCCACACCCTCGAGCCCATACGATCCCAACCGGATTGGGTTCCAGGGTGAATTTGGCGGCATCGGGACTAACGTATCCATTGAGAATCTCTGGAACGACCAGGCAGCCATCAATACTATCGACCAAACATATGAAATCGATACCACCATTGAGGCATGGAATTATCGCAGTCACCGTCTCCTTAACGAGCTCGAGGATCAAGTCCGCCTGTACGCATGCAGTGGGGGCGTCTGGACCCAGACGACTGACGTCGAGGGTGAGGTCAACGGCCTGATGACCTATGACCGTCGCGTTGAAAGAGTCGACGTGAAGCAGTGGCAGGCCGATATTAAGGCTCTCTATGATGCCGCCGCCGCAAGGAGCAAGGGGACAGGGGAGAGCTCATAATGTATTTAGTGGACAGACTACGCCATCCAAGGCTGTCTGGATGAATGTGATGAGTATGGAGTATATAATCTTATATTGGCTCATTATCCCTAAATGGAAACCCGTGTTATCAAAAATGATGTATAGTGCTGTTAATAAGCCCCGGAGCTCAAGATCAGCACTTTCTTCAACGCCTTCGTTTCAAAATCTTCAATAGGAACATCTCGACTGGCTGATGTGTTTTCGACAGCCTGGAGACTGTCACCGCTATCAAATCTCCCCGGAAATCAAATTAGATTAAGTTTCATCGAAGACCATGGAATCAAGTCAAAATTCATGGTACGCGGCAGTCTCGAGTATCACCCGGGTTCTAGACCATCAGTGATCGTCTACCGCGGCTGTTTTTGAAACGTCCCAGATTGACTAGAAAACAAAGGGGAAATATCTGATCTGTCAGTTCCGAGAATTAAAAGAATCAAAGCTCGTATGAGGGCCGCTTGAGTGAAAATTTTTCATTCTAATAATACTCTCAGAAGACTTATTGATCATGCCATACCCACCGTCAGCGCTCCCGATCTAACCCATCATGCCATGCCATCACACGATACGACTTGCGGTAATAGATTCGATTAGGGGTACAGGGTCCACGGTGCTAGACATGTGTTCCCTGATTTTTCTAGGCTATTGCCCGTTAGCTCTAATTGTCCCCTATCGTAGATTGTAGAAACCGTGCATTCCTTCGGACCCACACATCCACCAGTTCGATTTTTTCTAGAAGCATACACTTAGTAAGGGGCGTTGTGATTGCTCCTTAATTGTCATAGTTGCTTAGAATTCAGGCTGGTGACCTCAAGCTGTTGATCCAAAGTTAAATTCTCATCTGTTAATGCACATCTACCTACTCCGTACTGTGAATACAATGTATTCCCTAGGCATACGAATATCACCAGGTCAACCCAGTCGGACCCGAACGGAACCCACTTAGTCGCGGGCCCCAGGCGAAACCGCTGAGCCCGTAGCGGAGCTCCGAATGTCCCTAGCCAGTGATTGAGGGTGAGATTCAAATGCCGATAGATCCATTTCAACCTAATTAATTTGCTTTGTTGACACGGGAGATGGTTCGGAGAATTGACATGTGTGATCTTACTGTTTCAAGCCATGCCAAAACGCAATCTGATCTGTACACTAGTATGATGTAGATGAAGAGGTCTGACAGCAACCCCGCGAGCCTGTTAGAGTTGAGCTTTCACGATTCCAGGTCGCTTGTTTCAAGTTGCCGAGTCTGACAGCACGGCAATCATGGACCTTGCCATCCTTGGCTGACGCGGTCGCTTTTTGCCTTTCCTTTTTTTTTTTTTTCCATAGCTTGGATATTGCAGGGATCAGCCCACACATGCCTGGATGATCCACTTTAGAGATTCGAAATCGTCTCACCCTGTGGTCTGATTTGACCGTGGGCAATTTA